ACACGGTCCGGCCGGCAGGTTAAATTTAAAGACCAAATTGACTATTTCTACTTTTAGTGACTACATAGTAATTCTTCCTTTACCATACGTAGTGTAATTAAGCTAAGTTTTATTTTTGCAATTTATCCTACTCCGTGGGGGGGTGGTGTGGCGTTTCCGAACGTCACGATATTTTCGTTATGTTGGCAACCACGCCGCAATGATCGGGTGGTTGGCAATAGAACGTCACAGCGATCTCTCTTGCTCAGGCGCGACTCTTCGTTACAGACGTATCATGTTGTAACTATACTGTGTACCTAGAATACGTAACTCAATCTTATATTGTGAACGTGCATACATTAAATATATTCTACGAAGTTCTGTGTTTCGTTTCTTCGCGCCTGCGTTCCTCAAGAAAAGGGAAGGCCGCCTCCGCCGGCAGTCATTCCCATAACCTCAAAATCTAATACATTCTGTAGTAGGCCACGGTTCCTCAAGTTGTCCGTATCTCAACAAATGCTTATTTAGAGTTTATGAATGATTCCGAACACAGCTAGCATTTTCTCATCGCTGGGCGTTCTAGGGCATTCAATGTATGGGGAACGAGCAATGTCCTTTGTTGCTACCCATGGTGCTGTTAATGTTTCTAGATACCTAATCGCAAATACATGATTTTTGTTTACAAAAAGGTTATATGTCGGTAGCGTAGTTTTTTTTTAAATCTAAATCTTTCAAAGAAGATATTGACTAACTGACAATCAACGAACAGCCCAAATCGCTGGGTTAGGGGCTCCAAATTTGGCGCGTAGGTTCCTTAGCAGGGTTACATTTTTTCATTGATTTTTCAGAATTCATCCCCGAAGGTTTTAAAATAGGGAATGAAAGTTTGTATGCAAAATCTTGTTCCATAAGTTAATATACTTAAAACTTTGCTCGAATACAGAGCTAAATAAATTATACAGTATGCCATTTTTGGTTTTCCCAAACTACCCCTTTAGGGTAGTAATAAGTAGGGTAGTAATGAATGAAAAAGTTAATTATTTGTTTAAAATATTTTTATAATCTTACATGCGAGCTTCGTACAGTTGTACCATATACATGCACGTTAAGGTTCAACTAGTCGCGGGCTCGAACTCACTCGTGAATGCGGCCAAAAAGCACGCTGTCTCACCTAGCATTATGTCTAAAAGAGATAGAATCTGTTATGAGCAGTTAGAAGCTAGTCTACACGCATACGTCTAGTCGCACAAACACCGTGCCGAAGTCTGCCGAAATGAAACGACGTTAGACGATGAACGACTTTCAACGCCGCACCGCTGTGCCGGTCGAAGTGGGGGATGTTAAAAGAAAGAAAATATTTTTTATAAACCCTTAAAAAATACAACATGTCAAAAGGAACTCATACAGTAAGGGCTAACCAGGACCCTGCCTCAGCGTTAGGTGAGACGACATTGTGTCGCGCTTGAAGTTATATAAGCTGGCGGCTAGCGCGCGAGGCGCACGTTGATGTAGACCCGAGCGCCGCCCCCCACGGCGGTGGCCGGCGGGCCGCCCTCATCAGCGGTGTCCAGGGCGCCGTCCTCTGAATCCGTGACCCTCCGCAACAGTGACCCTGCGGCGCATACGCGCGACCGTCAAGAGGTCGTCGCGCAGCTGGCGGCACGCCAGGCGCACCACCACACAGTGCGGCCGGCCCCACGCCTCGGCGGGCGGCGCGCCCACACGCTCCGCGAACACCAAGTCCCGCCTGTCGAGAGTCACTCCCAGCCGCACGGCTAGCATGATGACGCTCTGCTCCACGCTGACGCCCCTCTCTTCGGGCAACCCGCCGATCTCCAGGTCGGACATCGACGCCTCCTGATCGCGGTCGTTGACCTCGGCGCGCAGCTCGGATATGATGCACTCCAAGTCCATCCTACCAGTTGCATCAGGATCCACTTGACGCAACACCGCAACTTTCTACTCGAAGGAGACAAGAACTGCGAAAGGCCGCTATCTCTGAGCGCAATTCCCTCGTCTCTTTCATGCAGTCGGCCAGCATACTTTTTTTTATCACTGGTGTGATTATTACTGGCGGCGTTCTCCTTGGCCTTACCCTGGACCTCATCTTCCTTTGGAGAGCCACTAGCCAGGTCGACAGGTTCCCGTACAGCAACCGGTTTTTCGGGCTCGGAAGAATCGCTGATACCATTTACAGGCATATGCGTGTTGTCACCCCTGCGTGTGTTCTTCTTGCAGTTCGGGCATATCCAGTCCTTGCTGACTCTCGACTTTTCCGGGATGGCGAGGCAGGCCTTATTATATTTTATCGGGCAAGCACAGCAAACAACAACATTGCCCGGCGCCAAAAAACTTCGACAAACTCCACAGTTTACCATCTTTAATCCAAAAGTTTTAATTATAATTATAAAGTCTAAATAAAAGGGAGACAAATAAAAATAAGAACAGGTGCTGGGGTCTAAAACAAATATATAAAAAAAAGGAAAAAATGAAAAATACGAGTGCGGGATTTGAACCGACGACCACGGTGATGCGTCGAACGTTAGTCCCGTGGCAAAAAATTAACATACTGCGCCGTTTAGATTGATATTAGAATGATGAAAATTGTGTTCTATTGGTATATGCACTCTCGTAAGGTTTTTTCGTTACAGAATTTTTTGATTCGGTTGCCGCGCTCGAAGCCCGCGATAAAAGCTATGCAATAGCTTAAAAATATTTTTATCCTGAAAAAATTTTGAAAAGTAAGTGGGATTCTGCAAAATTTAAAGTAAATGCGGACGAAGTCGCGGACGGCCGCTTGTATCCAATAAAACATAAAAATCGACGAGTTACTTACTGTTTACACAGAACACTCCACGATAAAAATCGCGGTGCAGTTAATCTCAGTATGAGTAATAAGCAAAAGTACCACTTACAGTATAAAAGTATCCAAATATAGCTTTTTCTCACTATCAGACAAATATGGGGGCACACGTCCATGTTTTCCATAAGCCGAGTCTGATATATTTGTCTAGATCCTCCTCTTTGTGTCCGGACAACACCCTATTATTTGGCGAGAAGTTTTCACTTTTGTTCTTAAAATAGATTCAATTTATTTTTATTATAGTAGCTTCCCCTGCAAACAATCTTCAAACAAAGATGCGATCACTTTAAGTTACTTACAAGAGTATCTGGATACTTAATTTAATTCTGTAACTTTGTTCCAACGATTTAATTAGTGTTCGTAAAAACTTTCATTGGTTACTTCAATGAGACCATCATAAAAACTGAAAAACCGTAAGTAAAAATGTTAGTACTTACTGTAAAATTATATAAAGACTGACTATTTAATTACAGTTGGATACAATTTATTTATTTTATATTACACATACACTTTTTTTGAAATGAAAATAGAACTTCAAGTTCGGTTTTGTGAGGATGTTAAGGTACGTAACCTCCTCACAAAACCGAACTTGAAGTTAAAGTTATTACAGAAGTTTTAAAAAATTGGTAATAAAGGTCTCTTAAAAGAAATAAACTTCCAGCTGAGTACCTACTGTACATACGTAAGAATTACGTAAAAATAAACAAAATTAGAAGCGAAACCTGAAACACATATGTTTTATTTTTAAATTGACGTTTCCTTAAAGCTCCTTATTTTAAACTTGTAGAATAGTATTTACGCTCGCTAATGCTTTATTTGAATCTTCGTGGCTTTCTGTATTTTTTTAATGTTTACTTCTAAAGAAAATTATACTAGAAAAAAATCCACGCGTACCAGGCAGCAGACGGGACTCGAACTCGCATCCTTCGCTATCCAGGCGAATGTTCTGACCATTATGTTACCGTGGCCCTGATGACCATTTTGAATTTACTCCAGCCTTTAGCATTAAGGCAGCGCCATCTTTTCGCATTGTAGGTAATCCGCAATGTCAAATGTTACAAGTATTAATACATTTGAAAGGAGAAATAGTAATTATAGTTAAATTATTTATTTTTAAGCAAATAACTGTTAGAAGTTTAAATCTAAAGAAATTTGCAGATTAGGCTAGAGAAAAAAAGTGAAAAATAAAAAAGCACATATTACGTAAGTTTTATGTTTCAATCGAAACCTCAGTTAACGCTCCACATCCCCCATCATTAATTCAGATACATTTCAAACATTTCTAATATGTCTTCCCTGCGCATCCCATATTTGCAGTATTAAAATTTACAGATTCAATCACGACTCGAACAAAGCTCCATTTATCTAAAATCCCAGTTGAATAATTTGGAAAGTAAGTTTAGAATACAAATACATTGTTGCGACTTCCAAAACTAATTTAATTTAAGTTTAGTTGAGTGTAAGAAAATCTTTAACCTTCACTACGCAACAAAACTTTTAAACTACTTCGAATCGTTATTCACATTTAAAAAAACCTGTACTTGTTATACTGTTTGATTTTGTTACCAACATTTTATAGCAAATATTCTTTGAGTTTCACACAATAAATGTAGTAATTTATAGTATGAATATTGAGAAAAGCGTTTCGATAAACTGAAAATCTTGTGTCCGCTTTCCATTGCGAGCGAAGCAGGCCCATTACGAACATTATGTAACTCGCAACGATGAAATTAGTTATAGAGCTTCCACTGAGAAAAATGGACCGAACAAAAATGTTTGACTCAAGGTTTTCCTAGACTATTTCACTCCGTTCTGCCCAGCCTTTTCATTGCAAGGTGTAGTGAAATTATAATTCTGAGTTTCCCAAAGAAATAATTATGCATTTGAAATTTAACTTGTACTCTTCATTCATTCATCACATCTTCATTCATCACATCTCCCAGGCAAAAGAGCCACCAATTTTATATAAAGGTCACCTATCAAACTTTATGGTTATATAAAATAGTATCGACTACGATTTTTCTTATACGCTTCCTTTAAGAGAATGACAATGACTTAAATTAGAAATCAAATTAAGAACAGTAATATAACCAATCAAATGCTATCTGTATAGGTAATTCATAATCGTTATCGAGTTACCTTGTTAATTTGCTCACAGGCGAGTACGCAGCCATAGGTGTGGACGTCGAGAAATATGAACCAGAGGAGGCCGTACGATACCTCGCGGGGCCGCTGCGCAAGGAGCCCGAGGCCAGGGGCTTAAAGGCCTTCAGGTCATACTTGGCCGTGTCACCGTCACCCTCGCCCTCCTACTCGGCCTTCGCCATGGAAGTCAACAGGAGACTACAGATGCCTCCATTCAACTTCACCAACCCGTTACTAGCATTGGGCGGCGGGAAAGTGGTAAGAAGTATACTTATGTAAGAGTATTTTTTTATAAACTTTGTCTTAAACCGATTTAATTTTATTTAATTTTAAACCAAGAGGAAGAAGTTGCTTCACAATGACAGTTTTGCATTCATTTATCTTTAAAAGTAAATTTAAGGTAAAACAAAATAATATGTATATATAATATTTTTTTTGTAATATGAATTGTATTTTTTTAAAAAGACATCAACGCAATACATTTCTTTTTTTAAATAAGAAGCACCAAAAATTCCTCTACTCAACTTCATGTTAAGCAGAGACGTTGCGTCTCGGTGTATGTTGTACCGTCTAAACAATGGAGAGTGTTCCGAGGAATTATTCAATCTGGTGCCAGCGGCCAAGTTCCTTCACTGCACCACACGCCGCAGAGAGAAGTTTCACCCTCACCATCTGGACGCTTGGCGCTCTAGTACCATGCGTTACGCGCGTTCCTTTTTTGCGTGCCAGCAACGAACGAACTTCCTTCTGTGGTTTTACTTCTTAGCTATGATGTGACGGTTTTTAAAAGGCGGGTAAACCTTTTCTTTTAGAGCCGGCAAAACATGAGTGGTATCCTTGGTGCTGCAAGTTTCCATGGACGGCAGTGAACTCTTATCATCAGATGAACTGCCAGCTCATTTGCCTGAATAAACATAAAAAACGGCTATGGTTGCCCTATTTCTGCTAATTCAGATAGTATATAGTAATACAAAAATGAATATTTAATGAAATTAATACTTACAAGTGATGTTAAATTAATACTATGGTTTGTTATCATTTAAGCATTAAACTGCTATTTTCTTTATCTCTAAGGACACGTGTCCTTCGTCCTGGACAGAAGTGGTAGCATAGGAGTTAGTGCATTTATCTAGTAAGCGAAAAATGTTGGTACGATTCCGGCCGAATAATTGGGCTCAGTTTATTTTTAAAAAAAAGGCAATAGGATTGTGTTATTTATGGTGATGCGCATTTGTTTACCTTGCAATCATCATTAATATACTAATTCACTTTGGTGTCTTCATTTGTTCGAATTTCACTAATAAACTTTGGCAAAACCCAGAAGATTAAAAAAAAGATTTTTATATATGTATGGAAATGATACTCATATTGTAATACATTATGTATTGCATTATACCATTTCATAACACTCACCTCTATAGCTTCCCGCACCAAGTTGCAAATTAATTAAACTATTAATTGAATAGCGACTAGGCCGGTGCGAATGACACAATTCGTGTCATAATATTATGCAGTAATTAAAAACAAGACAAGATTGCAGTTAACTTATAAGTAAATGTTATTAATATGTTCATATTATGTAATCTTTCGGTAAGATTTAAAAAATAATTTGAGTATTTTTGTCTTTCTGGGAATGTTTAACTCTTAAGTAAAATTAAGTTTGTTACAGTTAAAAATTTAACGTTATTAATTATATTCTGTGCCATAGAAAATTGATCCATTAGTTATAATGCTACTTTTATCTCTCATCGTGACATATGAGACGCCGTTTCCTCTCGTGACACATGAAATAAAACGCGACGCTCAGTAAAGAATTTTAATTGACAAACCTGAAAATTTTAAGTTTTCAGCATTTACAGCAGTTATGAATAACTAAACATCGACAAAACTTTTATTGCACCGACTACGTGGACAGAAAACGATAAGTTTGTTATTCGTTTAGCAAGTGTAGTTCGTAGTAGTATTAGTTGTGGTAGTTATTATTTCTAATCAATCTAAACAAAAAGAAAACAAAAACCAGCTTTTGACTGACCAAACGCAGTTTGTCATGAAGGTTCTCTATCCCGAGTCATGCACTATTGTATTGTATATGTCGTAGGATGATTTGAATTAGACAGTGGCGATGACAACGCGAGTCGCCTCAGTAAGATTGCAAAAATAATCGTTGGCTTATTATAAATTATCTACGGTTTTTGTGTTCACAGTAGGTTAGGTAAGTGCTGCGGCGAGCGTGAGCATATAAATATGACAGAATAAAAATTTTGAGGCTATGTAATAATGGTTTCACTTTAAAAACTTTGCAAGCTTCCCTTCTTATTGATATCTGTTGAGTATTGTTCTTTACATCTTTAATGTCGCCAGTATTGAAGTGATTACAATGTATTTCGCTACTGTCGTGCTATTCTGTAAGAACAAACTCACTTTTCACCGAGGATTCAGCGTGTGAAGTATGTAACTATATATATATATATGTCACCGGCAATATGTATAATGCAGGCATTCTATACAATACCTAGGCAACGTATATAAGGGGGCGTTTAGGAAATGTATGGAATGATATTCCATACATTTCCTATTTCCCTCTTTTCTCCTTCCTCTTTCCCTTGGACCTCGTTTACGAGTAGACGTATCTAGACCTGTGCTTTAAGTGTTATTTAAATAATTAAGTAAAAAGTAAATAGTAAAATTCACGCAAAAAATTAGGAGAACAAAATCTAAAGGAGTGATTGATTCGACCCAAGACGCACGCGTACGGAGTACCGCGAAACGCATCCAAACTGCGTATGCGCTCCTAGTACCTCGCTGAAGCAATCTCCGCCCTGACGCTGCACCACAGCCATTCGCGTGTTGTCCCGCTTTCTTCTGACAAGACCACACCCTCAAGCTTGGACACACCATCATATGATCATAATCATAGCACATCATACGGTACGATTCATACTATTATTACAACGCCTTTAAGATTATGCTGTCCTGGTACTAAGCCTTATAAATATAATCGATAATCCACTACATTATTCGCTGTGAGCTGGAAAGCTGCCTGGTCGTCTCCCTCGCTCTGGAAAGACCTCACAACCACCACCATATGTACCACCATGTGATTTTGATATCCTGGTACTAAACCTGCAAGTATAGACTACCGAATAGCGAACATCGTACTCCGTCACCTACAACTTACTCTTCTACCACCTTTATGGTTATGATATCCTGGTACTTAATCTTCAAGTGTAATAACAACATCGTATTTCCTCAATTAATCGCAAATAAGTTTGTTGTTGTATTTCAACCAGTTATATAGTCCTGGTAATAATGCCACTAAAACGCAGCCCACCACCTAAACAAAAAAAAACTACATCAATTACTCTACCAAGTACTATAGACAAATCTGCCTCGGACTCACAGTTAAATGAGTTGTGTGAAAGCACGGAGTCAACGTTCGTTTCTCAAAGGTTTAAAAGGGCGCGAGAGGATGAAACGGCAACGGAATTAGATAATTTTAAAGAAGAAATTAAAGCGTTGTTATCCTCTTTTATGGCAACACAAAAGACGGAACTTGAAAAGATTACCTGTAGCATAAAAGAGATCAACAATCCAATCATAATATCGACAACTCTATTGCTATCCTTACCAGCCAAAACGAAGAATTCAGAAGTAAAATAGAAACAATGGAATTACAGATTAAAAAAGACAGAGAATACATTACTTTATTGGAAGAAAAGGTGGAAGATATGCAAAGAGATAGTAGAAAATCTAATATTGAATTAAAAAATGTACCAGCTACAGAAAAAGAGTCAAAGGAGGAGCTATTGACCATGATATTACACTTATCCAAACATATTGATTGTAAAATCGAGAAATCAGACATAAGAGATATTTATAGAGTACGTACAAGAACAAGAAATGGTGAATTGGTAAAAAATCCTCCGATTATAATGGAACTCGGCTCTAGTATATTGAAACGTGACATATTGGGAAAGACAAAGTTATTCAATACCAAGAACAAACAGAAATTGCATGCTAAACACTTGGGATTCACGACCAATGAAGATACTCCAGTCTTTGTTACGGAACAACTAACCCCCAAAGGCGCTAGACTTTTCTTTCTAGCAAGAGATCTTTCGAAATCAAAATCTTACAAGTTTTGCTGGACGTCCTGTGGTCGGGTTTATGTAAGAAAGGATGAAAAATGTCCTATAATAAGAATAAAAAATGAGGCTCAAATACACCACCTTCTCCAGGAAGCATGACTAGTTGGACTCGTTCGGCTACTATTCTTATTTAGTTCACATCTAGTGGTATGTTTTGTTTTTTTGTTTGATTATATTCTAAGTATATTTTTTAATAGTCTTGTAATTGTTAAACTAATTATATATTGTAAAGTTGTAAATTGCAAACAACACATTATGAAATCACCACTTACACTATTTACACTAATCACAAATAAACTCCCTATACAGACATCACACACACATATCGACTTCGTTCAAACATTGATCAATTTACTTGAAAAAATATCTTTTGTGACGATACATGTTCTACTCTGTGCATCGGTTACTATTTACCGTGTCACATGTATTCCAACTTTAAGTAGAAACCAAATTCCCAGATTAATCTTATGCCTCAATATAGTTGCATTGCGTACTGAAAAGAGTAAATCGCTACGCAACATAAGTGATAGATCGATTGAATGGTGTATTGGTTTCTTTGGTTTGTGTAATTTTGCCCTTATGTTTCAATGTCTTGTAGTCTTAATGGATTGGTTATGGTCTTAAATGATTTACAAAATACAATTACGGACTTGGATAATACCGAAGCAGCTAGTTACTTCAATTGTGACATACAAGATCTTAAAAATCATATACAGATCCGTAAAACAGACCTTACTATACTTTGTCAAAATATTAGAAGTATATACTGTAATTTTCACAGTTTGGAAGCTACAATATCAATTTTAAGTCACGGTATAGATGTTCTTGTACTGACAGAGTGTAGGTTGGACAAAAATAAACCAATTCCCCATATTCCTAATTATACTTCGTTACAATCGATTCATAATTTAAACCAGAACGATGGCGTTGTGATTTATGTTAAAACTCATCTAAAACCAGTTCTAAAAGAAATTAATTTAAAACATGCTTCTTGTATACAGTTAAGTATTCTTGGTGTGACAATAATAGGCATTTACCGTTCACCCTCCATACAAAACGCAACCGAATTTATTGAATCTTTGAATGCTTTCTTAAATGATATAAAGTCACATCGAAATATAGTTATCACTGGTAATTTAAATATCGACCTCATTCAATCTGCAACTGAAAAATCATATGAACGGCATAATAGAGTCGAATATCTAAATATGCTAGCCATGCATGGTATATTAGCTGGACACAAATTACCTACAAGAAGCCTCAGTAGCCTCGATCATTTTATGATAAAATTAGACAAAGCCAAACTATCAGCAAATATTGCAGTACTAAATACATCAATAACGGACCATTTGACATTATTTTTGTCATTATCTAAATTTAATTTTAAAACAAATACTAAAAATACTGTTCGGCATATAGACTTCTCAATCGCTTATGATAAACTACTTCTAAAGAACCTGCAGTCGTGCTCTTTTGCTACGACCCTGAGATTGTTACTACACGGCTAATGACAGCAATAACAGAATCATTAGAAGAGAGTAAGACATTTAAAACTCTAACTAAAAACCAGCGCTGTATCAAACCTTGGATAACTGAGGGAATTCTTAGATGTATCAAAAACAGGAATAAGATGCAACTAAAGCTTCGATCTGACCCCCTAAATGACATTCTAAAAATTACTTATAGACGATACAGAAACTTTTGTAACAATTTAATAAAAAAACTTAAACGGAAATACGACAGGCAACTAATATTAAAAGCAGGCAAAAATTCGAAGGAACTTTGGAAAGCAGTCAAAACAGTGACACATTTTAAAACAACAACTTCACAGTGCGAAGAACTACTCAATATAGAATCAACCGCATCTGATTCAGTAAATAGTTATTTTGCTAATATTGGTAGGAAATTGGCAAACGATGTCATAAAAAGTGATCCCCATAACTCACATAAGAAAACTTCCACTAGTCCATTTAGATTGCAGAACTCGTTTGTTCTAATTAAAACGGACCCTACAGAAGTTAAAACAATTATCATGCAGATGAAATCGGATAGTGCACCTGGCTGGGATAATATACCTACTAGATTTCTCAAGCTTTGTGTTATCTTCATTGCGCCATTAATTAGTCATCTAGCAAATGTATGTTTTGACAAAGGTATTTTTCCTGTTTCTTTAAAAAAATCTATTGTGACTCCTGTATATAAAGGTGGGGCAAAGGTTGACATAAATAATTATCGACCAATCTCAGTCCTACCAGCAATATCGAAAATTCTTGAGAAACTTATTAACAATCGGCTTGTTAGTTATCTTGAAAAGTATAACATCATTTCTAATTCACAGTATGGGTTTAGACGTGGATTATCGACTGAGGACGCAGTATTATCTCTAACATCTCTTATTACGGAACAGCTTGACAAGGGTAAGAAATCGCTAGCTATTTTTCTAGACCTGAAAAAAGCATTCGATACGGTCTCTATATCTACCCTCGTAAATAAGCTAGAATGGATCGGAATTCGTATGTCAATGAGAGAGTACGCAAACTTATCTGGATTTTTAGGACCCTGAGACATATTACAACTCATAAGCTAATTAACCAAATATATATTTTTTTAGTGCAATCTGTTCTAGAGTACTGTATTTCTATTTGGGGTGGAGCAACAAAGACTAAATTCTTGGAGGTAGAACGTGCACAACGCTCACTTCTAAAAGTTATGTACCTTAAACCTCGATTATTTCCTACCACCGACTTATACGGGCTCAGCGATGTTTTAACCGTCAGACAACTTTACATATTAAGATCTACTCTTAAGTTGCGTACAAAAATAACTTTTAAACCTATTACGGAGACCCGAAGGAGAGTGGACAATATAGTATTACCTGTTAAAACTAGAACTTTATTCGCTAAACGTCAATTTTGTGCACTCTCAACTTTCCTATATAATCGTATACATAAGCTACTGGTTATTGATCATGTGAATAACAGGGATTACAAAAGTATTGTTACGAATTGGATAAAAACGCTAAATTATGAAGACACAGAGGCATTCCTCACATAAGTGATTAATAAAATATGCACAATACTTACACAAATGCACAATACACGCGCGCGCGCACACACACACACGCACACACACACACACACACACACACACACACACACATATATATATTTTAGTTGGCATTTTGTTTATTTCAAAATTGTTATATTAAGTTGTGTTGGCGATTATTGTATAAATAGCATCATCTAGATACTTACCTGCAGTGATGAGAGAGCGGGTTCTCCTGATACAGGTTTTATTTAAAACTTACTAGGAGGACTCATCGACTAATTGTACTATTATGTTATTTAAAGAAATAAACAAATTTTCATTTTCATTTTTTTTTTCATTTCATATAATAGTATTCAGCGTAATTTGTTTTGTATAAATTATTGTCAACATTAATGTAAGGCTTTCTTTGAATTTTATTTATTTAACGACAACCATCAAGAATATCCACTTATAAGAAAATAAAATCTAATTACATTTTTTAGAAATAAAACTAATATAAATCATATTGCAATACAGAAATCAACCAGCGCCATCTATATATATAATAAAAATGTTTTTAATTAGTAAAGAACTTTTGTAATGTTTTTTTTGATCTTCTTAAATTTATGTTAAGTAAGTGGATGAGTGTAAGTACTCTTTGTAGTATGCACTGCCATTGGCTGGAGTGACCGAAAGGGTGCGCAGAACTTGAAAACCTATCTTACAGTTTTTTTTTTATTTAAGAACTTTGACTTAGCCCAATTCAACGGGAGCTGCCGGGCATAGAGGCTCTGAGAGAGCATCTGAGAGGAAGAGTTCCCTGGCAAACAGACGAACTTAGGTCAGGTTAGCATTGCGGCCGGCGAAGCGCCAGAAAGATATATTATGGTATGGGGGATGGCGTTTCATTCCCCCATAACCCCAATTGATATGGTGGAAATAGGTTGGTATGGTGGAAAGGTGAACGAAAAAGTGCTATATACAAACGATTTTCTTCATATGGCACTTTTTCTACCTTATCCTACCGGTACCCCGATACTACTGTCGCCCTATCGCCGGACCTCAGTGGTTCAATTAATATTATTTACAAAGAAGAGGTATTAGTTTAAAGAAATGCAGGAAGAGCGTCCTGTCGTCATTAGAATAATCATGTCTATCATCTACGACATGTTTTTATTTTCCAACGAAGTTGAGGACACAGCTAGTTTAAAATAAGAATACAAAGGACAATGTTAAAATTGGCCTAAGAACCAACACCAATTTGGCATTTATGATAATTCTTAGTATATTTTTTGCGATAATTATCAGTATTTAGATTGTGACAGACACTTCCAGTTGAGTACGATAGATTAAAAAGTTGAAAAATAATCTGAAACAATATATACCATTTTATGTGTATAATCTATGACAGCGCTGCAAACAAAACACTCTCTCTTCCTAATGCCGGCACTTCACTTGGCTATTCGTATTTGCTATTTTAAAACATGACATCAGTCTGTCCTTATCATTCCTTATTAAGCATGACAAGGACAAACAAACAAACAAACAAACTGTTGTCAAGTGAAGCGCCGGCATAAAACTCGTTACTCTGCGGTTGTGGTGCATGCAGTTTGCATTCGTAGTAATCCATGGCATTCGTGCATTCCAGAGTAGTTTATTATACCGGAAAGTGCATTATCGTTTCGGATAACCTGTTGTGTGTGTTTCCTTTAATTTAACTATTTCGGCTATCTTATATGCCATCGATGTTACCAAAGAGCAGAGCCCTTATTACCAAGTGCTAGTGAACCTGTGCCACAACACCCTGAGAGGATCATACTGCCAAATTATTCAAGAACACCTGATACACATTCACGCTGCATATTTACACAATATACATGTGATATACAAATAAATACAATATAAAATATGATACAATTATGTGAAAAATAGTCAATAAATAAGAAGCAAAACTACAGTTTTTATTTTATTCATGATTCCTACCTAACCAAGTTTTTAATATTAGTTATTCTTTAAAATCGCACCGAATGAAATGAATTAGTTGTAAAATTAATTCACTTCATTCTAAGTTCATAGGTTGGTCAACCTTCATTGAATATTAAAGATAACCTCAAAAAAAATAGTTTTCGTAATAATTTAAGTTCTCAGAAGTGTCCGTCAATAAATCTTTGTTTTTATAATCATTTACTTACAATTTCGAAACTAGAAAATAATATTTCATGATTGTTGGTTCTTAGGCTAACTATGTATGGACGCTGAACAATGTCCTTTGAATTCAATTTCAAATCCCACCGCGGATTCCGCTGTGAAATGGAAATTTTGTTCTCACAGAATAGCACCACTTCCAAATTAAGTGATGTCCTGTAATTCGCTGTGCGTTATAAAAAGGTCTTTAATTGTGCAGATCCCAGTAGAAGCGGCATGGCTGCATGACGCAGTTTGGGTGTACGCGCGCGCGCTGGTGGCCGCGATGTCCCTGGGATACAACCCCCGCGACGGAAGAGCACTAGCCACTTTCATGAGGAACACGACCTACCGCAGTGTTATGGGGTAACTTTCATGAATAACATATCGTAGTTTAAGTCAAACGGAGTTCTTCAAATTAAAACTTCTTAATATATTTAATGTATATATTTTTTTATTTCTTGTAAGCTTGCTTGCTTCTTGCTTTTTTTTAATGATGGAAATTTGCTATATTTTTTTTATGCACGATATGAAAAAGCAACATTACATTCTAGATTTTTCGATCGTCTCATAAACGATTGGAAGGTGAAAATCGTCAATAAACTTGCAATTTCTAAGCATTATGAATCATGTTAAAATAACAAACAGTAAAAAGCTATTTCCTTTCCGTTTCTTAAATTCATTTAGCATCCCATTTCATGCTTCTCTTGATTAATTATTTTGCTCCCTTCTATATTTATCTATATTTTATTCCTCTTCCACCATAGATTGCCTGGAAAAGATTGCTGTGTAGCAATAAGGCCGCCTATTGTAATCTTACTTCTGTTTTATTTGTTTAGGTCTTGTGTCCTTCGTTGTGTGCAATAAAGAATATTTATTATTATTTCCGTTTCTTTCCCCAGTTACTGGGTGCATATGGATGAGAACGGTGACGCAGAAGGCAACTACACACTGTTGTCGATAGACCCTGCGCGAAAACCCGGCCTCTACCCAGTCGCAGTGCTGCACAAGTCTACTCCTGTTAGTACTATATTGTATTATATATGTAGTAATTTTTTATGCTTAATAGGCAAGGCGTTAGACCACAATCTCGCCTGATGGAAAGCGATGATGAGGCTTAGGATGGTACGCACCTGCCTAGAAGATGCCTGTTCACTCTGGCCTTGAAGATGTCCAGATGATACTGGTCTGAAAAAAACAGACCTCGGCAAGGAGTTCCACTCCCTAGCCGTTCGCATAATCAAAGCGGAAGCAAATCGCTTCGTGCGAATGGGAGGTTTTCATCATCTGTTCTTCCCATCTGGGACTATTGGAAGAACTTTCATACTATTGTATATAAGTATAGTATTGCCTCTTAAAGTGTTTTTTGCCAACTTCATTTAATTAAGAATTGTAATTAACTTAAGTACTTATCTAAGCAATAAATTATCGTTACATGAAGAAACGTATTTGAGCATATTTAACAGTCTTCTTCTTCTTCTTTAATACAATAATTATATAAACCTAATCAAATGAAAATAATGTAGCCATCGTGTTCTTAAAAAAGCTAAGAAATAAAATTATTAACTCATCGCATGTCTACCATCTAACGGAAAAATTCCTTAATGTCATGAGTAAAAGTCTGTTTATACGAATAGGAGACAACCAAGTAGGTAAATAATAGTATGCGTATCACGCACGCACGGCGAATCTCTGATACGACCCGAATTGCTGCGCTTAACTGTTCCGGACAAAGTATTTACGTCACAGTTTGGCTTCACAGATGCATTTGTGTGCCAACTTACAGCCTCTTTATACATAGTTTTATAGTTTATAGGACAGTTATAAAGAATAGAAAATGGCAATGGTACCTACTACATACTATAAATTGTTTCAGAAAAACTGGAAAAGACACCGTCCGTATTTAATTTAAAAACTTGCTTTCGTGATTTCTGTTTTATGCAAGTTTTACATGTATCGTTTGCCAGCAAAATATTCGTAAAGGACATGCTATGAATTGTCTTAAATGACAGAAAATTATTGAGTTTATCATTCCATTATGACCTCGGTGGCCGAGTGGTATATACGCCGGGTTTCTGAAAGTTAAACTATTGGCTTGAAAACCTGGAATAAATCATGATAATAGTGCTTTTCATGAACTTTTAAGAAAAACTATAACGATTAAGATAGATTTCTTAGAGTAATAGTCGTTCAACTTTGGTTCAGAAAATTTCTTACCTATTGAAAATATTAATAGTGACATAGATGAAGTTATTGTCATGTAAAACCTTACATTGCAACGAAATCTAAAAAAAACTATTTAAAAACTACGATAATATATAATTAGTTCCACAATGCTACCGCGAGTACCAACGACTCAGAAGTCGCGCTAACGTTACGTTTTTATTAAAAGTATACAAGCACTTGAAAAGATCGGCGGTTATACCCGTGGTTATTCCTACCGGTTATACCGTTATCCCCTTTTCAGGGGAAGATCGCTTCAGACGAAGCTTGTAGGGCCCTTCTGGACATAAGCATTAACTACGGGTGTGTTTTAGTCAGTAAGAGTCTGACATAACCTTGCAGCCGGCTGTAGGGTATCCATGAGGATTTCACAACCACTCCCCCGCCTGGGAGGAAACAAACATGTTATTTTATTCGTATTTACCGGCGGTTTTCATTCGTATTTGCCGAATTGATTTTGAGTTTAAGACGCAGTTTGACTTTGTATTTTTATTACTAGACAATGGTATTTTTATTGAGATACATAGATTGATATTAATTGATTTTTCTAATTTCCGATACAGAAAATTAAGACTCCTGCTCAAATATATTGTGGTAACTGGCCCGACACGCACTTGGCCGGTTTTTTTATGATAATAATATGGATAAATCTACTTACTACTGTTTAATTTTGTTCTAGGTTAAGAGCTGGTTTAGAGTGGTTAAAGGAACAGTTCAGAATCAGGTCCTTTATACAATGAAATTACCTAACTATTACAGCCTTGTATTGTATAAAGGGTCTGATTTTGGTCAAAGTCGCAAATTTTTCCATAAAGAGCGCTTGATGAATGATTATCATTGTGTCCTCCTGAGAACGTTTTAATTGTCCCACAGGAGGTGAGATTCCTGCGTGAATTAAAGTGGCCCGGCGGGCGAGTACCGCTGTCAGAGCCCCCTTGCGGCTTTCACGGCGAAAAGTGCGCTAGTAAGTGAAATATTTTTAATTAAACTTGCTGGTAATGTAAGTAACTACTAACTTACTGGCATTATTATTTAAATATTTAAGAAAGTAGGTCTTTCAAAACTAAGTAAGTATCGAGTATTCAGTGTGACATTCAAAAAGGTAAAACTCGGGGTAAAACTGTTTTGTTACGATTTTTATAGGTTTCTTATTCTCCTTCTTTTAAAGTGAATTTTTATTACATTGATCGGCACTATTTTTTTCATTATTCTTTAGCAAGTCGCATGACAATATTGATCGTTATTAAAAAATCAAACCTTATCAATAAATATAATCGGTGGCTCAGTGGTAGAAAGCTCGCCTACCACGCGGGCAACCCGGATTCAATTCCCAGCTGAAGGACTTTTTTATGTACCAGGGTAACATAAATAAATGTAAAAAATGAGATGATGAACTTCAAAAGTTTCACTTGCATCGTGGTTTCATAAAACCAAAGCAAAATTTGTACTAAAAATTTTTATTAATTAACCCACTATTATTAAATTGACTTTAAGCTAAAATTTATTTTCATTTAATTTGAAAAGGGTGACAATTATATTAGCAAGTGCGAGACTTATTGTTATGAGTACAAATTTAATACTAGGTTATGTAAAAAACGTTAAGGACCCACTTTTTTTTTATTTTACTAGAAATGCACATTCTTTAAAACTTTCAACCTTCCAATGATAGTCGGATTAAGATTAAGATAGACGACCACTACGGAACCCGGAAAAATACCTTAAGAAGTAATTTCCGCAGCCTTAGGGCGCTTGTTAACGAAACGATTTGTACCCGGGTTTAGGCATAGTTTTATACTATGTCTACGCCCGGTCGTCTGTTAAGTATAGGACACTATGGAGGTTTATTAACGACACCGGTGCTAGCAACGGTTTGGAGTCGGTACAAACGTACAAATCGTGCTCGTGAACAAGCTTAGCCGGCACCGGCACGGGTAGAAACCGTGCCTACACCCGACGGAAAACCGGTCGTTTACAAGCGCCCTTAGTGAAACAATGTGAATTAGTATTTAACCTTATACCCAGATGCTTGTCGTATAACACAATCTTAGGGGCTGGAATGGTCCATTAAGTACGACACTCTGTTTATAGCGACAAACTTTGTTGTTTGTTCTGTATTCTGAGGCGACAACATAAAAAACACGCACATTCACTTACAAGTCCTGCCCAAAGCAGGGCAACTCGTAATATTCTTCACGGCCAAATAGTGGTAGGTAGATCATAAAATGCTCAGATTTAAGGTTTTAACAATATTCGTAGTTTTTCTCTTCTACTATGATACACCACACCCTACGGAATGTTAAAATACGTATTCGACTTCGCATACATTATTAATAAAGAACCTCTGTATGGATGTTACAATCACAATCGATGTAGCCATCCACAGCAGTGCAGTTGCCTATGCCATGACGTGTCCTACAAAGCGATATGCTGCGTGACATAAATGGTGACACGCAACAGATCGACCATTCGGTAAACAGCTAAAAAAGTACAGTACATTAGCATATTTTCGTAGAAAGGGGATATCTATCTACCTCTACAGTATCAGGTTGGGACCACGCGAGTTGACTTAAGTGCACCTATTATGTTTTATCTAAGTGCCTGCAAGTACCTTCCGTTTCCGACTTCGTCCAAGTAAACTTTAATTTCGCACAGCTTTCTTAATTAATTTTCCATAAGAACCGTCCACCAGGTATTCGATAACTTAAAAACACGATGGATGATATCGGTGAAATCGTTCTCAAGTTATGGTGTGACCTAGCAAAACAAGGATTCTCTTTTCTATATAGTGATTACCCAGTTTTAATAGTAATTTATTTCGCTCTGACTGTAGTTATCCTCTAACTTGCTCAACAGACACAAACAGCTTTAATTTGACAAGCTCTCAACTCCCCAGACGTCGCGCGTCTGTCGCCCCATCTCGGTATTCTAGTATCTATCTCCGCGGAACAAAGAATTGTACAAAGGATAAAGCACAATAAAAGAGTGACGGAATTACTATCTACAGTACGACCTGAATACTATTATAATGTCATTTTATTTCACAATGTAGTACCTACCTAAAATCCAATTATTTCAGTGAAACTTTTATTATATCTTGAGAAATAATTTCGTTCATCTTTAGCAAGTCGCATTATATTTTTATTAACAAAAAATCAGACCTTATCAACGAGCATCGGTGGTTCAGTGGCAGAAAACTTACCTGCTACGGGGGCCCGAGTTTGATCCCCAGCCCAGAAAGATCGTTTTTTGTTAGTGATTTTAAAAGTTTCACTTGAATTTTAGCTTTATTTTAAATTAGTTCAAACTCAAACTGAAAAACCATTTATTCAGTTTGTTACATGCAATTGCAACAACACCTGTTTTTGTTTAAAGGCTTGTATTATACACAATCACTTTCTTCATAATAATTATAAACCTTCCATTCCAGGTAAAAAAATGTTGCGTAGTTGTACCGAATGCATCATTGCTTTACGGCTCCGATTTGTAAAATATTTTTGTATTGGATAGTGCATTTATCGAGGAAGGCTATATAACATCAGGCTAGGACCCGCAGCAGCGTAGCATCGATGAAAAATTTTGCAAAAACGGGTAAAAATATTCCATTTGTGAGATTCCGTTGTGTGCGCTGGGTAAACGGTCAAAGTTCCACAAAAATCATGTATAACGGAATTGTTCCTCTTTGAAAGTTCCCTAAAAAAGTTCAGGACAGCATACGTCCATTTTTAAGTTTGACTCACTACAACATTTTTCTGCAATTAACGCGAGTGAAACCGCAGGGGACCTCTAGTTGTGACATAACTGTGATAGTTGGACAAATGGTATTGCGAACTTTTTTGTAGATATTGATGTCCTCTATAAAACTTTAGTACTAGTTTTTACGGGTTAATGCACGAAACTTTATTTATTTATTGACGTTTCGCAGCCTTTTCAGGTCTGCATCGTCAGAATAATGATTTTTTATTTAAAATTGTCGAGCTACCTTCGAAAGACTTATATTGAGCGTTCGGTTATTTCATTGGAAGATTTTTAAAATTTTATTGACTATGTATGATTTTATTATTTGATTTACTTAATAAAGTATTTTATTTCAAATTCTTGTTTGTAATTTTGAGTTTATTTATTTGACCCTAACTACCGTAAACTACCACCGGTTCCAAAATTGGGAGACCTTCCTGAAAAGAACCGGCGAAACAAACTCAAGAGAGGCTTTCTATCTCCTTCTTATGTTAAATTATGCAAACAAAAATAACTAATAGTATCTGATGGTCTTGCAGTGTGTGCTCGGGGTTGGGATTTTATCTCCTGTATAATAGGTTCCCAAGCTGGTGGTATATACCAACCATCTTCCCTATTGAAATTTGGATATTTTTTAATCTCAATAACCTCGCGCATCATTCGAGGAACGAACCGCCGCTCAGCTGCAAGGATCTGTGGTCTATCAAATCTAATGTAGTGGTTTGGTCCCCCTAATGCATGTTCACACACTGCAGATTTATTTTCGCGCCTATGTTATGTTATGCATATTATTTTCAAGTAGCTTCTTCTTAGTGATTTCAATGCAGTCCTGTACTGGTAGGCATGTAAATAAGGACTGAACATCAAAACTGACCATGATTTCATTGTCCATGAGACGTTGATCTCTAATCTCATTGACAAATTGGTATGAATCTTTCACAAAGGCTGTTGTGTTACCTCTCAGTGGTGAAAGTAACTTTGCTACGTGTTTAGCCAAACGATATGTTGGAGAATCTGAAATTGAAATTGTAAGCCAGATTGATTCACCAACATACCGTTTGGCTAAACACGTATGCATTGAAATCACTAAGAAGAAGCTACTTGAAAATAATATTCCTATAGAATATGCAGTATTACTGGAGCATTGCCTTACTTCTGGCTACCTGTTATGGGGGGATGACTTCTATGTGATGACAAATGGAGGGTGTTGCAATGGGTTCCCCTGTCTCACCTGTTGTCGCCGATATTTTCATGGAAGACTTCGAGAAGAGGGCTCTCAGCGCAGCACCTGTCACACCCAGGCTATATAAGCGGTACGTAGATGATACTTTCACAATCCTCCCAACAGATCAAATTTCTGCCTTTTTAAATCACCTTAACTCTATACACCCCAACATCCTATTCACTATGGAGTTAGAGGCAGATAGTAAACTAGCTTTTCTAGATATTTTATTAATCAGGAATCCTGACCAAAGTTTAAGCCATACTGTGTATCGTAAAGTGACTCATACTGATAGGTACCTCAATGGTGACTCACACCATCACCCGAAACAATTAACTGCCGTGGGAAACTCTTTGTTTCAGAGAGCACGGGGTGTCTGTGACGAAAAACACCTGGCAGCTGAACTTCAGCATGTCGAGCAAGCACTGAAGGATAATAACCTGAATGTACCACGTCGCCGTCACAGTCGCGCCAAACCTAGCACAGTCGACCGACAACCTGCTATACTACCTTACATGAAAGGAGTCACTGACAAGATTGGGAGGATTCTGAAGCGTGCTACAATCAATACATACTTCAAGCCGCTAAAGAAGATCAACCAGTTTCTACGACCGGTCAAGTGCAATATACCCTTTCAAGTTGCTGGTGTCTACAAAGTTGAATGCGACTGTGGGCTCTCCTACATTGGGCAAACAAAGAGGAGTATAGGGACTCGGGTAAAAGAACATATCGCAGATATGAAACATAGGCGCGAAAATAAATCTGCAGTGTGTGAACATGCATTAGGGGGACCAAACCACTACATTAGATTTGATAGACCACAGATCCTTGCAGCTGAGCGGCGGTTCGTTCCTCGAATGATGCGCGAGGCTATTGAGATTAAAAAATATCCAAATTTCAATAGGGAAGATGGTTGGTATATACCACCAGCTTGGGAACCTATTATACAGAAGATAAAATCCCAACCCCGAGCACACACTGCAAGACCATCAGATACTATTAGTTATTTTTGTTTGCATAATTTATCATAAGAAGGAGATAGAAAGCCTCTCTTGAGTTTGTTTCGCCGGTTCTTCTCAGGAAGGTCTCCCAATTTTGGAACCGGTGGTAGTTTACGGTAGTTAGGGTCAAATAAATAAACTCAAAATTACAAACAAGAATTTTAAATAAAATACTTTATTAAGTAAATTAAATAATAAATTCATACATAGTCAATAAAATTTTAAAAATCTTCCAATGAAATAACCGAACGCTCAATATAAGTCTTTCGAAGGTAGCTCGACAATTTTAAATAAAAAATCATTATTCTGACGATGCAGACCTGAAAAGGCTGCGAAACGTCAATAAATAAATAAAGTTTCGTGCATTAACCCGTAAAAACTAGTTTTATTTAATGAGTGATGTGCGTGAAAACCTAAGAAACAAATAAACTTTAGTACATCACTTTGCTCAATTGTCAATGACTCCGCAGCGAACTCGACATAAGGTTATTTTTTGGTATTTTTTACACACGTTGGGTTACATTATTGAAGTTTTCATACCCTAACTTGTTGAATAGCGTATGTTCATTACGGATAATGAAGGATTCTAAATGTAAAAGAATTTTTCGAATCGGTCCAATAGTTTCGGAGCCTATTCAATACAAATAATCAAATCTTTCCTCTTTATAATATTAGTATAGATAACGCGTATGAAATAGGATGATTAGTACTTATTGAACGTTTATAATAATACTCTCCCATAGTTTTTGGGTACCATAGTCAAAACAAAACATTGGTATGTATAGTCCATTTAATATGATGTTAGTTACTAGAATTTAATCAATTATGTTGATAAGCACCATCCCTTTACAATTCACGCAACTCAATTAACACGTTACGTGTTGATCTAAAGACAGACAAATATTTGCTTAATTAATTAAGTACTTACATAAAATACGAAAATAAGAAAGCTAATGAATATAATAATTTTATCACATTTTTAACTCAAATGTGATAAAACTGAGTTATCATATCATCTGAAATGAAAATACTAGTGTGTGTTATGTTATCAAAGAAAATATACGATTGAAATAAATAAATAAATAAACACTAATTATTGAATATTTTGCTACCCCACATAATAACATATATATTGTCATAGTGAAACAAAATTTCCCAAGAGGCTATTCCACTTCAGTTATATAAATTTGAGAAAGGCTCCTTCGCTCCCAAATATCATCCCGCTCGTTGGTAAAGAATCTGCTCGCAGTTACAAATTGAATACATACGTTTAAAAGGCATTTAGCTTTATCCGCGATTACCCAAGTTTCCCTCGCGTCGTCGAAGTAAATCCTATAATATAATAAAGGTTCTCGATTTTTTTATCCATTGTGTGATAGGTAAATATTCCAATTCATAAAACCATTTATTGTTGATATTATATGGACTCTATTTTCAAATGAAATCAGTCTACAGATACATATACGGTTTTAATAAGATCACTACAAATTCATATACTGAAATTAATCTTAAATGGCTTATATATTGCATTTTCAATATAATTAAACTATTTTTTGTTTTTAAATCTGAGAGGAGCACTTAGCGTAGTATTGGCGCCAGAGCGAATTAAAATGATACCATTTTACGAATAAATTCGAAGAGAGCATAGTTTGTTTTACCCATAATAAAGTCTAGATTGCTTGTGTTTGGTGTTTTGTTTGCTTGAAATCTAACCCAAATGCCTAAGTAAAAATTTATGCTATAAGCATTGTTTGGAATTGAGAAATCCAAGCAGTAGTCATTTACATTCCAGGTTTCCCATCTCTGGATCTCGTTCGTTGGGAACTCAAATAATAATGAGCAAATCAGTGGAGCAGTCATAACTGGCATGAAATGTACTCTCTGGGAAAACCAAAGAGTTTAGTTTTGACGTGACAACGTCTTAAATTAGGTTGCGGCTGGGAGTCACTTATGAAAAAGTGTAACGCTCGGTAACGTTACGATGAGTCTCTCGTGTTAAGTTTAAGTTTACATGTACAATGTTTTAGTAAACAAAATATATTTCTATAGTTAAAATTTGTGCAATTCTTATTTTCATTCAATTCCTTGTTCCTATTGTGCAATTTAATTATATTCATATCAATAAATATTCTACCGAGAAAAAGACGTTGTCACGTAAAATCTTCGCCCGTAAAACCGACTTTACAGGCAACCATTTTTTTATCAAAGTGCAAACCAGCCATGTTTCATTGTTTGCACGTTGATTTCGGAATATAGCAAGATATAAGATTAAAGTGGGCGTTCGTTAGGAAATATGTACTTTATTCTTAATCTAATGGCAAGTATAAATTGATTAAATGTAAAAAGTTAAAACAAGCATTTATGTCACTAACGCTGACCGATGTTATAGAAGACGAGATGGTCAAAAGACGTGTTTCGGTTCGACGACAGGTTGCTGATCGCTGTGAAACCGGAGGATCTACCTTACTTTTATAGTAGCTTATAAACAAATAAAAGAAAAAATACAAAATTACTGCGGCTGAACCCGACAATGTTTGACGATACAAGGAAAAAATCAGCGACCCACCAATTCTCACTGGGCCTGCGTCTCGTTTATGATGTTACAAGGTTGCTATGCTACGGATGGAATAGGAAAAAGCTATGGATGGAGTGAACCATAGTTCATGGCCCCTTTTCCCTATTCCATCCATAGAGAAAACGTGTGCGCAGCTACGTTAATAGGGTTGTGATGATGATTATTATGATCAAACTGACTTGTGAAGACTGCACGAAAAGTTGCTGGCGATTTAATCACTCCCAGATTTTCTTCCACTTTTTCCACCCTCTAAATTAATGATCGTTTTCCTCAGGTCATATAGGAGCATGGGCATTAGGAGCATCTGGGGCCACCTTGGTTTTGTTAGCTCTGGCTGCCCTAGCCCTGTACCGTGGATGGCGTTACGAACAAGAACTAGACTCACTGCTGTGGAAGATCGACTTCCGAGACCTACAACTTCCCGATGACGAGCCGTGCGTCAACAAACTGAGTAGGTAAAACGAATTTAGATGATGTTGTTTGCATGACTGCTTCATTTTATTAAGAGAGGTAGGGCAAAACTGATTTTCAGCTGGAATTGCAGCGTCCGTATAGGGAAGTAACTGCCACCTTACAGAAGACCACGCGCGCTGGCCTAGGTTGCCACCGACTTACTGTGGCCACTATTCCTACACGAACAAAGAAAGTTAGTGACTCATTTCTTTGTCGTACTATTCGTACAATCTGGGGTCTTTTAAGAGAGGCGTGAAGAAGCATTTTTGCGGGCCGGCAAGGTGGGGATGTTTGGTGTAGCAGCTGATAATTGCTGTACCAGCCTCTTCGCGTTTGGACTTGAGTAGAGGTGGGGTAGAGTCATTTGCCTACCTGGCTATAAAAACATTGTATCATTACCTTTTGGTGTTATTATGTTTATATCAGTTAGTAAGGTTCGAGTGCTCCACGGGATAGGGTAGGCATTGACGCGAGTGATAGCTTTAATACCGCAAGCGTCTATGGGCTATGGTAGTCGCTTACCATCAGCAGGCCAATTATGCTCGCTAATTGTGATATTGTTTTGATGTCTATTTCACATTACGTATTATGCTCTCCGAAAAATGCGATATCAAAATGACATCAACTTATGCTATGATGATGATCAACTCTATAAAATGATATCAACTTAAATGCGTATTACGTTCAACTTTTTGACTTAAAATAGTATCGCATAAACGTCAAAAATGTGATACAGGATATGATATTGATATGATCTTGATGTGACAGGAATGTTTCATAATACCTTAAAAAAACAATGTCAACTTGGCATCAACATCATATTGACATCACATTAGAATTTTATTACTGAAGCATAATTGACCCACAGGCGACACGTATGCTTGTTTGATACCCGTTTTTTTTACTTAATAGCAGAAAATATCTGGTATATAATAAAATATTACAAATAAATAAACAATTGCATACAGCAGTTTATTTCCTTCTTACGTAGTTTATTTCTCTTTTAAAAAAGGTCTTATGGATGCTTTTAAGTTGGGTTTTTTTAGATTACCCCACCATCATGCAATAAAAATAGTTTCTGAGTGCGTCCATTTATAACATTATTAATAATTATAAACTTTCTTAGTCACTTATTTATAATTGTTATTAGTATATATAACAAAAATGTGATTTAAGTATAAAAAAAGCAACATGATTTCCATGAGTAATAGGCTACTTGACACTTTTTTGGAAATATGTTTTAAATGGTTAATAATTGTTTTATTAGACCGTAAAAAATATTGTATTTTTTTTTTGACGCAGAGAGCCACAAAACTAATTTTATAATAGATTTTTCATGGACATACAAAAACGCTGTCGGCCATTTTAGTCTATATTTTATCTATGCTCTGACATCAACAAAATCGTAAACAAACATTCGGAAGCTCGTAGATAATAACCTGAATCTAAATTTGTATTATAAAACTAATAGATTTCATGATAAATACTATAATTATCATGATTGTATTATACGTGAATGTAGAAACACATCGTTAAAGACTCCAGAAAACAATACTACAATACTGTAGTTTTAGACATGGGCGTTTTTGGTTTTGAACGCAAACGGATATTTATCGGATTTCAGATTTCAAATCGATTTTAAAATCCGTTTTTAGATATCCGATTTCAGATGTGCCGAACTTAGCCAATTCACTAGTTTGTGTTATGATTTGGTTTTATTAGCTAACGACAATCACAAACAATTAATTGTAGGAAGCAAGAATACTCGTAGATTTTCGCTTAGGACTAGCAGAAAAGTTATGTTTACGGTTAAGAGTAAAACTTTTGCGGCGCATTTAAAAATCGACTTATATACAATGATTTCTTTTTACATATTTTTTTAGTATTATTTTTGTTTTTCTGTTTGTTTTTATTATTTTTCAAACCATTTACAAAATCAAACCTAATTACTTCAGGTTAGCGTCCAAAAATGTAAGTTGCTCGACTTTTGATGTTTTTAGACGACATATCTTTTCAGTGATAAATAATCCCGCCTCAGAGAAGAGCAATAGATTTCCGTAAACAGCAAATCGAAATCGGACTTCCGAGCACGAAATCTGACTTCCGAAAACGAAAGCACGAATTTCGAATCCGATTTACATTTGGATACTTATGGTATTAGATCGCTAGCGTTTTGGTTCGGTTAGATTTCTGAAATCGGATTTTCTTGTTGAGAAATCGTTCGGTATCGATTTGTGTTTGAAATCGGATTTTGGATTCGTTTTGATATATCGGACGCATGCCTATGTAGTTTAAATTGTCTGGAAAAATACACATACCTACACATGAATACAGTCATTAAATAAAATTAGTTTTTTACGGGTTAATGCACGAAACTTTATTTATTTATTGACAGTCATGTTTAAAACTTGCTAAACCCTGTAATTTTACCGTCTGAAAGTCATTTCTTTTAGCAAAGATCACTTTAATGTGAGTACTCATTGAATAATATTTAAAGTTTAAAAATACAATTTTTAAGGTTATGAATGTACCTACAAGTCAAAGTGTTTTGTTGTTTCTGCTTTCACAAATCCGGCGTCCAGCATTAATTTAGTCAACAAAACCAATAAACAGAAAATTTTCTTCAAGCTGTAAGAGTTTTTAGATATATTTTAGTCCGACGAAAGACACCACAATAACACGACAATGACGTTTGGTTCTTTACTAACACATTTACTAACTTGTTGACGTCACAATCATGGTGGACAGCGTTAAAAAGCATAAACTAAAAAATCTTTTTTCTAATTAAATTACTACAGCCATCAGTTTGGCCTTAAGACCAATAATCATGAAAAAATGTTTCCTAGATTCGAAATTATATATAAATTACTGAAGAAACGAATGTTGTTGACGGACACCCCTAAGAACTTCTATAAACCATATACACTGAATGATTTTTAGGTTATGTTTGCAAATAGGTACATAGGTATTAAAATAATAAAAAACAAATATGTTATATAGTAAACTAGGGAAATCAAGCCAATTACCGAAAATATGATTAGATTCCGGTATATAAAGCATGTAGATTATCAGATAGTTGCCTGTTTTTAAAGTTAATGCACAAGAGTATCTTTTAACATCAGGTATCATCTATGCATTTCCGGTTATAATAAGGTACTCTGTGACAGTAACTGTGTGATGTGAAGAATTGTGAATGAGCCACAGGTTAGAGAGAATTTTTAAACTCTCGTTAACCAAAGACAGCTAAGAGATTTAGGTTATACAGCCATATTCAGTAGCTTCATTATTTTTGTTATATTTATATTACCAATATAACCATATTTTAGATTTTTAGTGTATCACACCTTATAGTGTGTTTGGCGAAAAATGTAGGTCAATAGACTTTATGATGTCGCCTACCATCTATAATAATTGTCTTAGCACATTTGCATATAGTGAAAATAATAAAATAGTTGTGGATATTAATACCACATTGTAATAAAAAAAATGTTTTATTTTATCGATCTTTACAAAATAGATTTGTTATGATGTTATATAAACAACTTCGATTAGTATTTGGCTGAATGTTACTACACCCATATCCATTAAAAAATGATTCCTATGTTTTCCACGAAAAAAACAAAAGTCCTTTTTAAAATGAATATATTATACAAAGGTGTCCGTTAAATCTAATGACTGTAAAATAAAGTATAAATTACGCCAAGAATTATCGTATATGTCTATATTTTTTGTATATTTGGGCCAATTTGAGCAATCTCCTTTTACAGTTTCTCGAAATTAAATCCAGTTTTAATTCTTAATTCAGTCAGAAATTTATACGAAGCTCATTGAAATTTAAAGGCTTAGTTAGACGCATTCTTTAACGAGCTACAACTCAGTCAACGTGTAGGTCAGAGCTGATTTTTTCCAGCAAGACAGCAGCGCTGTTGTGAACACCAACTCCTCGTGTAACACCGTTACCACCGAAAAGGCGGGCGCCAACGGTGGCGTGCGCTCCAGCCAAGTGTCGCTGAGCTCCAACCCCGACCTGGACTTCAGATACTCGGCCATCTTCACGGAAGTGGCCCTGTACAGAGGCCGCCTTCTGGCTGTCAAGAGGGTGCGAAGACACCATATCGACATCAACCGAGAGATCAAGAAAGAACTGAAAATCGTATGTATTTTTTATACAATTATTATATATTAATAAATGTGGATGTTTTAATGATTGATACTCAATCACGCAACAACTGCGGAACGGATGTGAATGAAATTTGATACGTATATTGTTTATGACCTGGAATGAGACGAAGGATACTTTTTATCCAGGTAAACGATAGGTTCCTAAAGGATTTTCAAAAAAAGTAAATTACACGCGGACGAAGTCGCTAGTTATAAAATAATTAATAGTGTAAATTGTGAAATAGGCAGCTTCATAATTTGGCGTAGAAAGAATTCTTCAAAGTCCGTTTTTGGAGTTTACTCCTTAAGAATCGATTTGCATATATAAGGGGCCCGGTATGAGAAAAATGTGAGGAGTAAAATCTATCGATGAATGACATTAATGACCTCGTTACGTTTTTGTGCGCAACCTCATCTGCGCACCTTTCACTTTTAGCCATGGCAACGGATAAAAAACATTAAGTTGTCACAAATGTCAATAAAATAAATAAACTAAAAATAGATAAAATCGGAGCAAAATTAATGAAAACAAATAAATAACAGAATATAGAGAAACGCCGGTAAGTGTCCAGCACTCTGGAATAGTGATTTTCAATACAGATGGAATAGGGAAGATGCAATATTTTTATTTTTGTTTTCATTTTAAAGAATTCCATGTAGAATAAACCACAGGTATATTAAAAAATTAAAACATTGTGATTTTCCGGAAAAAATGCGGTTTTAAATTGACAATTTAAAATTTCGCGCGAAAACGAACCTATGGTTGCGATGACGTCACTCCTGTCTGTCACTGGTCGTACTTGTTCGTTGCTAGCTTTAAATTTTCATACTTTTGCATATTTTTTCGACTTTCGAAATATTTTTTTCGAAAAGTTTAAAATGGACTATCCATCAACATCATGTGATCATAACAATACCACTAATATTCCGAAAAAAAGCCGTGTTGACTCATGTTTTATGCCAATCTACTTCAACAAAGTTCCCAAATAAATTGTTTTTGCTGGAACTTCTGACCCAAAACTGAAAAAAAGTGGTTTCAAGCTGCGAAGAGAAATGACAATTATTCTCCAAAGACCATTATTCGATGCTGAGAAGATCACTTTGACGTAAGTCGGCGAATATACTTGTTATATGCTTAATTAATCTGCTTGTACGTAAAAACGCATTAGTAACCTACCTAATATTTACAAAACCTGTCTATAACATATTTTTAATTTTACAGTTGGAGAATGACGACGAAAATTAGATAAAGTTTAAAATGTGTGGCACAATCTTCACATTGGCAGGACTGAACCAAGCTTTGCGTTTCATTTAAAATAACTGTAACACGATAACCTTCTTTACGTACTTTATGCTCCGGAGAACTCGACCTTCTACTGTACATAATTCTCCATCTCTTTTAATTTGGACATAGCCGATTGCATTATCGCCGTAAGATTTGTAGAAGCCGCTGAATAAAATACGAAGTTTAACAACTACGATTTTTACATACCGTAGTAATTTAGTCCCTTTCATTTCTACACTTAAAAACTCTGCATTTTGGACAAAAAAAGTTATAACCATGTCAACGCTAACTCTTGGTAAATTCCTGGAGTCTGCTTTGATAAACGCAACTTCCATTTTTATTAAATGTAAAAAAACGCAATTAATATTCCCATAAAATAATATTTACTATAACAACCATAACCTCACAGGAGTGACGTCACTAAACGCTGATTGGTGTTTTAAAATACGTTCCGTTTCAAGTATTTTTAAGAGCCCTTGTACAAAATTGCGCCTCTCTTGTTTAGGTAAATACGGGCGCGAGCGTGTCCGAGTCGCACGAGCGAGACATCGACGCGGCGATGTTCAGTATAGCGCGCTTTACCAAATTGATACTTTAATATGCAATTATTGATTATACAATAAATGCCATTATAAAATAAAGTTAATTTGAAGTGCTAAGATGGATCCCTACTGTAGCAACGAACGATTCTAGATAGGAATCCTGAGTGGAGCAAAAGATACAAGGATTAAGTTTTTTTACTATTGTGAGAAAATAAATAATATATTTAAAGTACCCATTGGTTGTGTTTTGGAAATGACAATAAAGATTAATAATGATTATTACTAATTATTGTAACTTTATATGTATGCTTTGCATAACTTCTGTTTGTTCAAATTTTTGAAGTTATACTTCTTTAGGCGCGTTATGAAAAAATGATGAGTGAGAGTGAAATTTTAAGATGCGCGCGCATCAATGTAACACAAAAAATTAACAGCATGAAGTTGGTCGCTTTAGCGACCAACTTCATGCTGTTACTTTTGTGTTTACCGCACATTAAGAAAATCTACCAACAAAATAGAAATAGAATCTCTATTTTGTGGGTGCTAACGACTGCATTGTGAAGGCCTATCAAAAGTATTTATTAATCTGGAACAACGGAACCAAAGCGCGATTCAGGAGACTACAGCGCCATCTCTTGACCATTGGTGTAGTAGAACCAAAAACCACATCTTTATTTTTTGTAATAAAGTAACAAAAAGTATTTATTAATCTGGAACAACGGAACCAAAGCGCGATTCAGGAGACTACAGCGCCATCTCTTGACCATTGGTGTAGTAGAACCAAAAACCACATTTTTATTTTTTGTAATAAAGTAACAGTTATAGGTATTCATATTTATAATAATTATCCACATGTTTCTAGTTTGTATATTCGGAATACGTTTTTGAGTTTCATACAAGTGCAAATCACATAATATGTTCTAATAAATTATATTCAGTAGCGATTTTAATTGAATATTTTGATTATTTATTTATTTTTTCAAATTAAAACTGAGCTTTTTTGACTGTGTCCTTTTCCAGACTTCTTATTAATTTATTGTAATTAATTATTTGCATGCAATTAAAAACTAATTTTAAACGATGCCAAAGAAGGATAACTTCTCACGCGCCTACATAAGTACACGCACCCATTTTTTTTTTATTCACTCAGTAATTAAATGAAAAGTTTGTTCACTGTTATCGCTGAATGAAATCCCTTTTTCGAGTGGCAATGAGAAATAATATTTTATTTACTTGTGTTTTTAGTGTTGACTTTTTTAATGATGATTGATGTTTGGTAATAATCAAATATCTCAGTAAAACTGTACTAAGTGTAGTTTTGTCTTTGCCTTCATAGTTCATTTAATAAACAGATATAGGCAATACTGGAAATACATTTCCAATCCAGACACAGATATGGTATGAAAATCAGCAAGTTACTGTCAATTGAACTTGTGGAGCAAAGAAGTCTAGTATAAAATATTAAAAATAAACTTTTTTTGCTCTAGAAATGCATCCCATTAGTTTGAGTTTAAAACAAAAAACCAAACTGCTAACATTGTAAACTATGTACCTAGTGTAGTAGTGAAATACCCATTAAATCAGTATAAAACAGATAAAATATTTACATTTTTGAGTTTGAGTTTGACGCTTCCCTTTGTTCCTCGGCTTCGATTTCCAATCCAACAGCAGTTTTTGCTATATAAATTAATTCATTATTATAAATTTAAATAATTATAAATTTATTGTTATAAATTTAATTTCTTTTTTCATTGTCTACTTCCAATAACAATATGAAAAACTTACAGTTTCCGTTGCAATCGAATTTATTGAACTTATGGTCGGTATAGTTTCAGTATTTTCGGGGTTGCCATTAAAATTTTGTTTCACGAGCTTATACTTGTTATACTTGATCGAAATGCAACATTTTACCGTACTCTAGCTTTTTTTTACAGACATAAGTGTAGATTGTAAGAAGCTTAAGTTTAAATCGGGGAATGTAGGGTGGTCACAACTGGCCACTTTATTGGAAAACGCGTTTATAGCTATATCTCCTAAATTATTAACTGTACGGAAAAAATGTAGTGTTTTTTGTTTATTACTAAATTCTCTAACTTCTTTCTCTCAAGCTTTTTATTGTTACTCTTACCGTTTTTCAATTGTTGCTGTTTATTTGAACATTTTTGTATTTTTTCCTTTATAAAACCTTAAAAATGTCATTAATTGATAAAAAACGTCGTATACAAGTTATTCATGATTGAATTCCCTACAAGTTTTGTATATTTTTTTTATTAAATAATTACTTTTGAAGTTAATAGTCGTTAATGTGCGCAAAAACGGGCATTGAAATGAAATTACAGAGATATCCGAAAAATTCACTTACTTTCATACAAATTGAAGCTGATGATGATTTGTGTTGGATTGTAATCAATTAATTGTAAAAAATGTTATAAAAAAATTTTTTTTATTATATTTTTTTTCACTATTTAGTGAAAAAAAATATAAATATTATAAATAATATTAGTGATGAGAATCAATTGCACTTATACAAAACTCTGATATACTGCGTTATTGCTACGTTAACGACTCATAACTTTATAATGCGATTCAACTAAGAATAGGACCGACTGGGCGCCATATTTTGACGTCATAGCTGTCAATTCAAGCCAAATAGGTAGAGTGAACAAAAAAAAAGTTTCTATTTAATCAAATTTATTTACTTAGATTAAGTGAGAAAAAACATCAGATTTTTTTAATAAAATTAATTTACTAAGATTGAGAGAAAACACAACCGATTTTTAATAATACTTTATTAAGACTGTGTGAGCAAAAACATAAATTAGAATCTAGCTCTTCAATTCCGCTCATCTCTGCATTACCACCGGAGTAGTTATGAATAATCATGCAGGTCACATACGAACATGCATCCTATATGTAAACTAAAGTATTAAATCGAGTTTCTGAGCGGAACATAAAGTGACATTTAGTTGACGATTTAGGTTATCAACCATTCATAGCCAAAGCTCAATAAATGAAAAAAAATATCAACCAATATTAACTATCAATATTTGTTATTGTTTGTTTAAAAATGTTTGATTTTACTCTAGAATTAGCTGAGTGCTAAAAAAGTATTCCGAGTTTTTTTTGCAAACTGTACTTTTCAAGCGACATTTGTCAGATGGAGGTCATAGGCTTTACTATTCTTATTTGAATAGCATTATAAAAGTATGTATTTAGTAAAAAAAAGATTTATGCAAAAGTTGTAGGAAATTTGATGATGAATAACTTTCATAACATGTTTTTTTATCAATTAATGGCATTTTAAAGGCTTTAAAAATAAAGCGAAATGTTATAAGCATATTCACCTTGCTTCACAAGCTTTCTTAACGGCTGCATCATTCTTTCGTTTTCTTTTTTTGACACAATGGTAAGTAGGAATTTTACGCCCCATTGTAAAAGCTAATAACAAAAATATTAGTTGAAGCAACGATAATTAATAACTAGGGAGGTACTTATAATAATAAAAATTAATACGGTTGTGGAAACTTATATACAGTCAACGATTAAAGTTTTGCGGTTGTAGTATATCCAGCCAGTTTTACGATGAATGCACTCGTAGCATCGCTCGGGACGCGTGCGGTACAAAGCGACACAGGTCCGACCTCCAAAGGCGCTGGCGCCGTACTGAACGGTGCCTAGATTTGCACTATTGCATTTTACGGGTGATATTCAGAGTCTTATAAAATAATAATTAATGAACTTATTATAAAAATATATACATATTTCAATAGTTCAATGGTTGTAGATTAGTTTTATGAAAGTTTTTTATAGTAATTCTATTTAATTCAATATCAAAATACGAGGTAAATCTGCGTTATTTTTTGGGGAAGCTCACGGAGGTTAGATGTTTTTTTAATAATTAATGAGATGGAAAATCAAGATTCTAATACATTATGTTGCAACAAAAACATATTTCTGATGTAGTAGTAATTAATTTGATCTAATTTATTGAACATTATTGTAAGATTTAGGCGTTTTAAGGTGTGCATATTATCGTTTTTTCCGTAAACTAGCTGCGGTAGATCGATCATTACAAAAAAATGAAAATAGTATTTGCAAATATTCTACATTAATTTTCAATAGGAAGAATAAATCTACTGTTTACTTCTATTGGAAGTAGTAAAAACCTCTTCAAAGGGGGCAAACGAGGCGCTCAAAAATTGCGATTTATTGCAAAAAATGTGAAAGGGCTCTTAAATCGTAATAATTGTTAAAAAACAACATTATGTAAAATAAAAACGTTGCAGTGGCATTTCTTTTATATATTTTTAACATTTTAATCATAAAATTTTCATAAATATTATATATGCATCTTCCCTATTATAATACATATTTACAAAATGATGACTATAAGTGTGTGATATTTTTGAAATTGTGTGTTTCCAGAAATACATAATAAAATATATGATGAAAATCGCTGATGTTAGATGATAAAATGTGTGACATGGAATCTATGATAGTCGAAACCATGGGACGATTCCTGAGGTATCTCTACTTGTAACCGACTTCTTCGGACTTGATTTTGTTTTGTGTCTGTTCAAAGACAATCGTTTTTAGAGTGTAAACTCCGGTCGTGCGTCGGAGCTGACACACACAATTTTTTTTGCATGCGCTAAATCAACATTTCCGCGCGCACGCTTCTTTGATTATATTTTAAAAGTTACACCTTAACACAATTGTGTCAAGTTCTGCCTAGCTTGTACATAAGTATTACAGTTATGACTCAACAAAACGTTCCCTGAACAATAACTTAGGTATCAACCAGTTTCAGCAGCTTTAAAACTTTTGATGCTTTTAAAGTTGCCGTGCTCTTTCGAGCTTTGGCAACATTTTCCTAATGCAAGATACAAATGGCACAATGCAGTTTTTTGTCTTTTCTTTTGCTATACAAAACAAGGCACTGTCCAAATAATGGAAAGATGTATCGGAATAAGTAAACAAATAGAAGTGCTAAGAGCACGTAAATCGCCACGTTTCCTGTGTTAAAGGACTTGTAGAAATATTTACGGTTAAGGCGCAATAGTCTCGTTACGCCCATAAGCCCCTACAAAGATGAGCTCAGGCCGCTCTGCCCCTAACCAAACAAAACATTTTCTACCGGATGAGGGGGCAATAACTGAGACTAATGGCTTACATCCATCTGGATTTGCTGTAACACATACCACAGGTACTTACTTTAATAATATAGCTGCCTGCCTACCTACAATTGGAAAAAACAAACAAGTAACGACGTGCTAACGAAAAAAAATACTCGTAAGTAAATAACAGCTTTGTTGTTATTTACTTACGAGTTAAGTATTTTTCTTATTTTGCGTAATGTATACAAGTAGGTGCACTAGGTACAATGATTTTCCAGGAAATTAAATAAAAAGATAATAATAATTCGTGAATCATTTCACTTCACAATAAAGTTTTGCAAATATATGTTTATATTTTAATAGTGTATTAGTATTGAAATGATTGTGTACATAATTCAATGAAAAACCTCAAACAAAAATTCCACAAACTTTAATAACTTAAGTTTGAATGAAGAATTTTGACTTCCTGTATGTTTTCACTAACATTCATATGTGAGACTGTAAGCACTGGAGAATTCACAAGTTGATACGTAGGTGCTTGAACATAGTGTACTCTTGCAAGATTGTGCAACCAAGTTCGACTGAGGGCGAGAAGGTACCTACGGCAGTGAATGAACACTGCAAATAAAGTAAATTTGTTCAGGTGCGGGAAACCACTAACCAGCATGGCCCGGAGTATTTGCTCAGTCTCAATGCCACCTCCGCACCAGTCAGTTTTTCTTGTTAATTCACCTTTTAAGTACCCATAAAAGTTTATTGAGACGTTCAAGCATAAACACAGCTTTTATAGCTGACCAGTTTCTAATACAGAATTATACCGTTTTAAACATCTCACTACAGTGATATTTTTTCCTCTACTCTATTAAATTGAATTAAAATAAATAATATGTAATTGCTCTCCAGAAAATACCTATACATGCAAAAAAAGGGCTTATTATCAAAAAAACTCAGTAAAACGGATAGGCAAGGAAAAAAATGTAACTAAAAAATTTCTTATTGAAATTGCTGGGATTCACCAAATAATAGCACCAGATTTATAAAACTTACCGATGCACATATCTATTTACTTACGAGAACAGTGCGTTTTCTTATTTGTACTTTAATGAATTTACTTTTTATTTTGTAGATGAGAGATTTACAACACGACAACGTGAACGGATTCGTAGGAGCGTGCATTGAGCCACCTAATGTGTGCGCGCTTTCAGAATACTGCACAAGAGGAAGTCTGAAGGTATTATAAATGTACATTAATTGTTTCACTATTGTAAGTCCATCTATTATTTTTATTCAATTTACCGGTATAACAAAAAATACTGTAATAATCTAAGTAGGCATCACTCAGTTGCGTTGCGAAGCTTACCGTGGCGGTGCAGTGGGCGGTCAACCCCGGGCGGCACTTTTAGGTAAGCGGCAAATTTTTCTATTTTTAGAAAATATCCCAGGTCTCACAGGGATGTCGAGCTGCTTATGGGATTGCATTCAGGCCGGCAAAGTGAGGATGGCTGGAGCGACATACCTTTTGCCGCATCATCTATCTTCGCGACTGGACACCACCTGCCTATGATGTTTTAAACTTATAGATACGTCATACACGCTTCCAATTTGGCAATACGAAAGTCAGGTAATTGCCCGACTTGCATTCAGTCGGGCACGCTCTCTTCCCCGCGGCTCACTTCGCTACAACGTGTTAATATTTTACGTTTTTCCAGACAAAAAGCCTTGAGTGTCTTTAGATAGTACACAAATTACACGGGAACTATTAGAGACACGAAAAACGTGTCATTTCAATCGTAATTACAGTTTCAAAGAAATTAATGTAAAAATATTTAGTGATTGCTTATTTTGACAGTTACTGAAACCCTTGACACGTGAAGGCTATAGAGCGACATGTAATCTGCTTATGAGTGAGAGTGAAAGAGACTAGTGCGCTTTGTTGGCGGCTGTTGCCAGAAGAAGTAGGGGTGGGGATTACTGCCTTTTGGATACTTCTGCCATTTTAAAATGCTATAAAATTGGCGTATAACCTATATTATACGACATTGCCACCTACACTTAACATTAGGTGCGGTGGGGTAATTTGCTGCGCCTCGTATAAAAAAAATGCGGTGACCAAATTGGTCTCCGTAGCCAACGCTACGCTGATATCACTGCAATAGGAACACACCTTTACCCTTTGAATATCATATGGCACATGTAACAGCATGAAATCATTATAAATTTTATTATAGCGAAGTTAAGCAATTTCGCATGACCGGCTATAGAATGGGGACCAAATTGAGTTAATAATTTCCATCATTGCGAGGGTCTATTGTTTGAAGGTTTGAATTAGTGTGTCTTTGGACTTAATGGAAGTTATGAGTGACCCCGTCTATGGGCCCCTCAAGTCACAAAGGGTGACAAACGGAACCCAATTAATATACCTCAGCTTTTTGTCTGTCTGTCACAGTACTCTATATCTTGTACGAAAATAGGAAGATGTGTTAATGTGGCCGTACGTAATAATATTCCACTTTTGAAATTTAACCTTTTTATCTAAGGGGTTGACAAATTTCTATGTTTCATATGTTAAATAGGTAACTATAGAGTATAGGTAAGAAACAATATTTTCATACAGATATTAATTTCATGTCCCACAGGATATTCTTGAGAATGAAGACATCAAGCTCGACAATATGTTTGTAGCATCCCTCGTTGCTGACATTATTAGGGTAAGTAACACTAACGAAATTGATGGATCCATGTAGAGTATGTACACACTAATAAAGGCGGATGTTTGCCTATTGGAAACGTTATTGCTTAGTTCGTGGCGGATATAGAATCTGTCAGAAGGTACCTAACTAACCTACAAATACTTACGTTTTTTATTTCCTGTCATTTGTCAATATAAAGTCTACGTTGATTTTCTCTAACAGCACATATCCACGGCGAAAACGTAATTCTTTCTTACTAACTCATTTAAAACATTTTACATAAATAGGAACAAAACTGTAGGGGCGTTGCACGCAGGTAGGAGAATTGGCAATTTTTTTAACAAAATTAGTGAAGACGCCTTATATGATGTACTTCGACGCCCTTCAAGCCTCACGGGTATTTTTGTAAAACCCGGTATTTATTCAGTTAGAAGTTATTTCTACAGTACTTTTTTGAACATACAATGTTAAAATTCAAATTAGAGATTTTATCAAAACATGCAGAAACAGACGTTACTGTTATATTTTTTTATTTTTTGGGCATTTAACTGCTAGATGTTTGAATCTAACTAGCAGCAAACGGGACTCAAACCCGCACCCTTCGCTATCCGGGCAAATGCACTGACGCGGGATCCCGCATCTTTGAAATTACATATGTTTAAAAACTTTTATTAAATCATTTCTTACATTAAGCAACGGAAATTATTCATTTTCTATTAATTACGTATAAGTTAATAGTTATCTGATTTCTTAGATAAATCTTTAAATGTTTGGCATAGTTTAATAAAAGTTTCGTGCATTAACCCGTAAAAAACTAGTTTTATTTAATGAGTGTGCGTGAAAACCTAAGAAACGAATAGTTTAATAGTTTTGTTTAATTTTACTTACTGCTAACAACAGTTTTAAATTTTTATTCAGTATTATTCATAAAGTAACTAATAACCAAATCACAAGTTTCTCTTAGATGCTATCTATTACTACGATATCAACCTATGGTGATAACTTTTGGAAATTCGCTCTTAAGAAGCAAATGGCATTTATTGTATCATATCCGAGTCTGCCTTTGAGTGAACTGCAAATCTATCCCGATGCTAGAAACGCTATCTCGGCTTCGACGCGAGTAGGGTGAACCGTCAATATATATTTATAGGTGCGCGTCAGGTACTCTCCTCTGAACAGCAACGTCGCGTTCATGCTACTCGCGATTTATGCCAAAGTTTGAAGGAGATTGCTCAAATTGGCCCAAATGCACAAAAAATATTGACATATACGGTAATTCTTGGCGTAATTTATACTTTATTTTACAGTCATTAGATTTTAACGGACACCTTTGTATAATATATTCATTTTAAAAAGGACTTTTAATTTTACCGGTTTGAAAATCATACGAATCATTTTTAATGGCTATGGGTGTTGTAACATTCAGCCAAAGACTGATCGAAGTTGTTTATATAACATAAAATCAAATCTATTTTGTAAAGATCGATAAAATAAAACATTTTCTATTACACTGTGGTATTAATATCCACAACTATATTATCATTTTCACTACATGCAAATGTGTTAAGACAATTATTATAGATGGTAGGCTACATCATAAAGCCTTACATTTTCCCCAAACACCTCCATAAACACATTATAAGGTGTGATACACTAAAAATCTAAAATATGGTTATAATGTAAACATAACAAAAATATTAAGCTACTGAAGATATGGCTGTAGAACCTAAATCTCTTAGCTTTATTTGGTTAACGAGAGTTTAAAAATTATCTCTAATCTGTGGCTCATTCACAATCATCACACAGGACTTTTTGGCGAGATCGGGAAGTGTCACTTTAGCAGTTTTGTTTTTCTTGTTAAAAATTGTATTGTGGTGGATGTTAGTGTCTAATAATGGTGGATTATTTATCACTAAGTGTTCGGGAACGTGCACCACAAGTGTTGGCAAGTGAAACAAAATAGCGGAAAGTGTCTTTCGGCGTTCCCTCAAGAAGTCCTCAAACATAGGGAAAGGGGGTTTGACTTAACTGCCACTTACTTTGACTTGTTTTATTACTTTGACCACGACTGCTATAGAATTTCTAAACATTTTAACACTTGACATTTGCTAAATGCACAAGCTATGCGAAGCCATTTAGAAAAAAAAATCATCACACAGTTTCTGTCACAGAGTACATTCCTTATTATAACCGGAAATGCATAGATGATACCTGATTTTAAAAGTTACTCTTGTGCATTGACTTTAAAAACAGGCAACTATCTGTTAATCTACATGCTCTATATACTCAGGTATATATCTAATACACAATTTCGGTACTTGGCTTGATTTACCTAGTTTACTATATAACTTATTTGTTTTTTATTATTTTAATACCTATGTACCTATTTGCAAACATAACCTCAAAATCATTCAGTGTATATGGTTTATAGAAGTTCTCAGGGGTGTCCGTCAATAATGTTCGATTCTACAGTAATTTATATATAATTTCGAATCAAGGAAACAATTTTTCATGATTATTGGTTTTTAGGCCAAACATGTATGGAAGCTGAGCAATCTCCTTTGCGGGTTCTGAGAATCCGCGCTTAGAAGATGCGGGAACCAGCAGATTAATAACAGCAGAGGGATTCCTCGGGAATGCGTGATTCCGTTTCGCGGGATTTCAATCCCTACTACCGCGGCCCTGACGGCCGTGTCGAATTTAGTCTAGCATTTCTTAGGCTGTTAGGCAAATCAAAAGTCAAATGAATACCTTTATAATTAAGTTCTAATTTCCAAGCATATTTGAGAAAATATAATTTGCTCCACCATATAATACTGCTAATCAATCGTACGCCCAGTGGTTTTTCCGCTAAAAATAGAGCTCCCGTTTAGGGATGTGACCTCCAGCTCAAGTTAAGATTTTTTTTACAAACACACATCAATTAGCCTAGGAAAGTAAGCACTGTGTTTATGGGATACCTACTAGTGTAGCAATACATATACTAATTTTTTTATTAGAAATATACGTAAACCAATGACTTAGGTACCAATACATGTATTCAACACACAAACATTTGCCCCACCGGGATATGAACCCGGGAGCTCTGAGTAATATTGTTTATTTTACTACTTAAACTAACGTTGGTTTTTGTAAAATGGCCAGGGTATGATATTCATTCATGAGTCGACGCTGCAATACCACGGCGCGCTGCGGCCGTCCAACTGCCTGGTGGACGCGAGATGGGTGGTCAAACTCGCGGACTTCGGCCTCAGAGAATTCCGCCGCGGGGAAATACTGCCAGCTGACCCCATCGCTTTGAGAACACATTTCGAAAGTGAGTTTACGCTCCTTTTTTTCGGACATGGTGTGTTTATGTCACCCGCATCTGTATAATTTAGATATTCTTTACAATACCTAAGCAATGTATATAATGAATAATAAATAAATAAAACGAGAAAAAGTCGACGCGCTATCTTCTCTTACGCACATTGCCGACTGCGCATTCAGCATTATATAAAATACCTAGGCAGAGTAGGCACTTTTTTAATACCTAGGCAGGTATTAAAATAATAAGTATTTTATACATAAGGTATTGTATAGTTTGCCGAATTATACAGATTATCGGTAACATATACACATATTCTGATTATAATTCATTAGCACGAAATACATCCATTTTGTATACCTATTTTAGGTCGAACCTCCTCTGCAGGCATCTATGTATCGAACTTTATCGAATGCGAACTTAGAGCAATAAATGCTCTAAGAATGCGAAGGATATTGGTGCGGTTACAATTCCAGAATCTAGTTGCGTTCTGTTAAGTAAAAAATCTTGAGGTAATAAAATCTAAGAAATCTTTTAGAAAGTCTCATAAAACTTTCATTCTTGCGCTACTCACTGAAATTTAGAAAAGCATTCTGCTAAGATGCATTATTAGATAATAAAATGATACTGTTCAAGTCAATACTATCTTTTCCGAATACAGGTGAAGGTTATATTATATTACGCCTATTACAGGAAAATATTGAAACTTGACGTTTCGTTTTTTTTTAAATAATGCATCTAGCAAAAGTCTTTTCTGAATTTATGAGACCTTACAAAATAATTTTTAGATTTTATTACCTAAAGTATAACAAACATTAATTTTACAAACTGGAATAACTATTTCTCCCAGATCTAGTCTACCTTTCCCCCGAGCTTCTCCGCAAGTCCGGTTGGGGTTCGGATTCGTTTCCACTATCGGACGAGCACAGAGACGGCACGCCTGCAGCGGATGTGTACGCCTTCGCATTGGTTCTGTACGAGATCCACACGCGGAAAGGGCCATTCGGGCTGGACGCGCCTGCGGCGCCGACGCTGCTGAGGCGACTAGCTGTGCCGGAACCCACGCCTTACAGGTAGGTGCGTGTCCCTAGATGTTCGCAGAGTGGTTTATTTAAAGTAACTGGCATTTAAGTTTAGTCTCACACGCGGCAGAGACTTTTCTTTATATGTCACTTATTCGTCGTGTGGTTCATAAACAAAATGACTTTCATTTAAGTTTAACACGCGGAAAGGGCCATTCGGGCCAGACGCTGCTAAGGAGACAAGCTGTGGCGGACGGAACCAAAACCATACAAGTAGGTGCGTGTCTCTTCCCTGGCGATTGATAAAGGAACTGGTTTATAAGTTTAGTCTCACAAGCAGAAGGGATCGTTCATACCAGACGCTCTCGCGGTGCCGATGCTGCTGAGGCGACTACCTGTAAATCCACCATACTTTCGCAGTTTCCAAGCCTTTAAATCGTCAAGCTTCTCAGTGTGTGGTATATTCAACAGGCCGCCTCTGGAACCGTTAACTGATCGATTTGACTGCGTGCGTGAATGCTGCTGTGAGTGCTGGGCCGAAGATCCTACTTCAAGACCCGACTTCAAGGCCGTACGCACCAGGCTTAGGCCACTGAGGAAAGGCATGTAAGTACATTACGTATCAGCAATAATATTCCTGCTTATTGAAATCATATCACCGAAATCATCTCTTATCTATTAGACAAGTCCGTCCGTCCGTCTGTCTGTGGTGCTGTTTCAGCGGCCAAACCGTAAGAGATAGATAAAGAGAATGTTTAAGTTATAAGTTAAGAATAGTCTAATAAGACTACAAACCGGATTTGAGTAACGTAACACTTCCGGTTTTCGAGAAATCACGTGATTTCTATTTCAAACGAAACCACACAAAATCTCCGAAGTTCTCAATTAATTAAATACATTTTTTTTTTAAATCAGGTTTTGGTGAACATTTGGTTCACTGGTTTGCTAGTTCAATTTATTTTAGTACGAAAAACGAGATGATAAAATTATTATTTATTTTTGATTTGAAGTATTGTTACGTGTTGGTATGGGGTCCGAAATTATAATGCCATTTCACGCTTGACAGTTCTTTTTTACGTGTCCGGATGAGTTTTAAAATTATAATGCCAGTTCGTGCTTGACAGTTCTTTACTAACGCACAATACTACACTCAATTATAAATATTCTTTAGATCATATGTTCGCACTTGGTTGGATTCGCAAAAGGACGGATACCACTATGCGTTCCTGAGAAAAGAGGTAGTAACTTTAAAATTTTCAAAAAAAAATTTATGTATGATGTAACTAAAAATTTACGGTTTTCGCAATTTTTCCTTTATCTGTACTAGAAGACGTTACTTCGTACCAAATTTCAAGATTTTAAATCGCGGGAAGTACCCTGTAGGTTGTGATTCCCATGCAAGTTTCGAAAATTTGCGACATAAACGGCTGTATCTTTTGATTGCTTTGGCTTAAAAGTTTGATTTTTTCACAGCTCCAAGGGACAGTAAATATGAATTTTAGTTTGATACCTCCACGCGTTCCTAAGAACAACGGTCTTGACAGACTGACGGACGGACGGACAACAAAGTGATCCTATAAGGGTTCCGCTTTTTCCTTTTGAGGTACGGAACCCTAAAAACGAATCAATAGAACTTTGGAAAAAACTGATTATGTAGGCAATGTCTTACATATTTTTTTCGTCTTTATGGATGTCACTTTAACGACGTTTTATGGTAGAATGTAATTGTAATCGTTTTAATCTTTCGTTATAAAGTGGTACCATTTTCTTCAGAAATCTCAAAAATAAATGCAAACGTAGCTTTTTCGGAATTCTTGCAATAAATCAGTGATGCCAAATTACTTACCTACGGTGACATTTGTAGTACGCATTTTTATGTAACAAATAAAAACATTTTTTCAAACCATTGACTGTAAAAATATTTTTTTAGTATTTATATGTATTTCTCCATACTACGTACTGTTCTGGGTTCGGCGAAATGAGAATCCGTCGAAGTGCGAACAAATGCAATTAATAATACTTTGCATTCCCTTTCTAGGAAACCTAATATTTTTGACAACATGATAGCTATAATGGAGAAGTACGCAAATAATCTCGAGGCTCTAGTGGACGAGCGCACTGATCAACTACAGGAGGAGAAAAAGAAGACTGGTAAATGAGGAAAACTTCATATTTTTTTTACTGCACCTGCCGTATCCATATTGTCTGCCAGCCTTCCGCTAAGTACCTACCTACGTTTCATTATTTCCTTTCCCAACTTATAATCTTACCTCTCTCTTGTCTCTTTCTTTGGATATAGCTCTATTGCTTTTGATTATTATTTCATTTCATTCATTCATTTATTTCATTTCATTCGTTTCATTAATTTCCTTCATTTCATTCATATATCATTTATTTTTACTTTGACTATTACATACAGTCTCTTCTTGTTCCTCTTATTCATTTATTGCACTGTTATGTTTTATGCTTTTAATTTCCTGTAAGGTGTGTCAATAAAGAATTTTATTTAAGTATATCTATTTATACTAGCGACCGCCCGCGACTTCATCCGCGTTAACTTTAGTTTTTCGAGAATCCCACCAAGAACCGGTCAATTGTTCGGGATAAAAATCCTATATATCCCATGTCTCAATCCAGTTCATAAACTACTTATATGTGAACCAAGTTTCATCCAAATCCGTTCAGTAGTTATTGCGTGATCGAGTAACAAATACACAAACTTTCATATTAATAATATCAATAGCACATTGGTGACGATTCTAGAATGATTCTCTAAACCTAAAATTAAATTTGACAATAGTGTACCCTTGTCATTCTCTACACAGAATGAAAAGGAGAGACCGATGTTCAATTTAGTTTCAAGTTTAGAGAATCATGCCAGGTTTGACACAAATAAGGATTGAATGTTATCCAGAGGCACTGTTAGAAGAAATGCTGCCTGCGCCGGTGGCCGAACAACTAAAGCGCGGGCGCCGCGTGCTGCCCGAGAGCTACGACTCGGTCACCATATACTTCAGCGACATTGTCGGATTCACGGCAATGTCGGCTGAAAGTACACCACTACAGGTATATTTGGCGGCAAACTTCTCAAGCAAAACCGTAGACAAATAAACTGGCGCAGGACACTTTTTTGTATGTAAAAATGCTACTGCGCAGGCTTCCTTGTCTATGGTCGTTCCTCAAGAAGTATGCCTGCCGGGGTGTATAACTAAGACTCTGTTATTACGGTGAAGCCAAACAAATGTAATCTTTTCAATGGCCCAAGCACGAGATTTTGACACCTCCGAAAAATAACGTCGTCAAATTTTGTATGGAAAAAGCTAGCTTGTTCTTACGTCCGATAGGGGCGCTGCGTAGTTTCCTTAGAAATTTGGCGATTACGTTACTTTACGGAGCTGTCTTAACTCGTGCTTTGGCCTCTGTTGTGTGTAGCTTAATTTTGGTTGCGTGATTAATGCTGCATTCTTTTTCCTATGAAAGTCCTGTTTGTTTCACACCACGACGCAAAATTAGTCGGCAGACAACGGTTTTTCTATGAAACCTAATGCAGCTTATTTTAATACATACAACCATGGACGTATAAAAAAAGGCGGACAGAGTTTCGCCTAAGACAATACTGAGGCACCGTAATGGCGGCGGCTATTGATGAGTGAGTGAATTGTAGGGTTGCTAGATTAGCCAATTTTTACCAATAAAACACAGTAAAAACATGAAAATATTTTGATTGTTCAAAATTTTACTTTTTGCCCGACTGCGGAGGATAATGTTTTTCGAGCGTATGTATGCATGTATGTATGTATGTCCAATAATTTGGCACGCCCTACAGCCTGAACGTCTTGACGGATTTTGACATGCGAGGTGTCATTTGATTTGTCGTGATTGTGTGAGTGGCACTCGGTATATTAAAATTTCAAAAAATCAAAATAACAGATTTTATGCGCCAAAATGAAATATTTTGAAAAAAAAGTATAAGTATTTTTATAACCCGTCAAGCGAGGTATCAAAGTGAAGGGTTTTAAAAGAATATTTAGAAAATATACAACTCGTGTAATTAAAAAATAATGAAATTAAAATGTCGAAAATAAAAAAAAATGTACTAAAAGAAAAAAACAAGTCCAGTAGTCTAGAATTCTGTTTAATAAGGAACAAAGTTACTTTAACAGTCGGGACTCATTAGAAATTCTAGAATGTATCGAATTTTCTCAATATTGGGTAAATCAACTAAATATAGATGGCCTGGCCTGCATTCTCTTTCATATTTCTTAAAATAAACTAACACCCATTGAGTACTGTTTGTAATTGAGGAGTTCCATTGTTTTCCTCCGAAAGTACTCATCAGATCTCCAGTAAATTAATATGCAGCCATCTCGCTAGTAAACTGATTAAAACAAAAAAGAATCATCATAAACGGTCCACGAATCTCGGAGATCTGCGCGAACAACAATAAACAAAAACAAATATGACGCATTGCGAACCGTTTTCTTTTCGAAGTCGGTTAAAATTTTTAATCAACCTTTTGAGGTAATGCATACATAATAACACGCCGGAGTCCTCCTTTAGTTGTATATAAGTCTTGAGCTTCAAAATGAAGACTAAAAATGACACTACTACATATTTGTTTGGAAATCATTCATTTTCCAGTAATTTCTCCATACTACATTTTCTTTAGGAAATCTGATAAAAAAGAATAATAAATAATAGATTGAAGTTAATGTCAACCCAATTTCCCATATTTTAGGTAATATGGTTACATGAACATTGGCAACACTGGGCTTAGGCTAATCATTTTGTCCTTAGAATTAAAATTGATTTCGATTTCTAAAAACTAGAAAAAAGCGATTCAATTATTCATTTACCTATGAAACGTGATTCCTGGATTTTTTTCTTTCGGTCACTACGGTTTTTACAAGCAAGATATCTTGTTTAGCTTATTTTTTATCTCCACGTAACGTGTTGGCTGCTTTGACGTTTGCACGCGTAGTGGCTGACTATTATGTGAATGTGTGTGTGCCGGCTTGTACGTACAGCGACCTGGCCGACTCTGAGCGACACAGTTTATTGTTTACAGGGACTCTGTCCGCCTTTTTTTATAAGTCCATGCATACAACAACAAAAAATATATATGCTTGTTTGACTTCACTCTTAAAAGATTCACTTTAGTTGTGTTAACAGGTTCACCCTCGTCTTACTGAAAATGAAATTTTCAGGTGGTTGACTTCTTGAATGATTTGTACACGTGTTTCGATTCCATATTAGAAAATTTCGACGTGTACAAGGTGGAAACTATTGGCGACGCCTACATGGTGGTAAGATTCATTGTACTTCCTTTCTAGTAAAATATCATTAATTCATATAACATAATAGATTTTGATATAACATACAACTACACTGATTAATGGCGCAGATGTTTAGCGATTTCGGCCTGCGATTTTAGAAGTTAAGCAACTTTCACAGGGGTTGATCATTGGATGAGTGATCAAAAACTTATGATCTCGAACTCCTCTATGCTTCAGAAGGCACGTTAAGCCGTTGGTCCCGGCTGCAACTGCAGTCGTTAGCACTTACCAATCCGTCCGCACTGATCCCACGTAGTAGGTCACAGCTTAATCTCCCTATTCGATCTTCAGGGAAAGCCTGGGCCCCGACATTGGGGGCGTTAATAGACTGACGTTAATGACACTTCGTATTATATTACTAGCGGCCGCCTGCGACTTCGTACGCGTGGAGTTAGTTAGAAATAAAGGTTTACTGCTCGTTCTCCGTAGGTGATAGCGTGATAATATGTAGCCTATATGTTGACCCGACTTCTTAATAATATTCGTGCCAAATTTGAAGTAAATCTATGTAGTACTTTTTGAGTTTATCCCGGACATACATACAGACAAACAGACAGACAAAAATTCTAAAAACTATATTTTTGGCTTCGGTGTCGATTGTAGGTCACACCCCAAGTATTTGTACTTTAAAAAAAACGAGCGAGCCTTACAGTATTCGCGTATGATGTGTAACATTTGTAACCTCACCTTATATTAGTAAAAAAAAGAAATAAACCTACTACAAAAGGAACAAGCCATTTGAACATTATGTTTATGTTCCTGTTACGCACTTCCGTCCCATTTCACGAAATCACTCCCACAAATTGAGGGGAAGCGAGTAAAGAGGAAAGATGGTACACATCAATAATATTCAATGTACAGTTTTGACTTTCCTACCATTTTATTATATATATAGATTTGTTATAGAAGGTATATGAGACTATTTATGAAACAGTGACTTTTGCTCGTGTCAGGTTTCGGGGCTGCCGATTCGTAACGGCATAGTTCACGCGGGCGAAGTGGCGTCGATGGCGCTGGCGCTGCTCGCCGCCACGCGCGCCTTCCGCGTGCGGCACCGCCCCGAGCACCGCCTGTTGCTGCGCGTCGGCATCCACTCCGGTAATGTCTACTCGTAGAGTACTCAGGAGCTGATTTTAAAATGGTGGGGCCCGGTGCTGAAATTGATGCGGGGCATATGTAAGGATTGCATGGATGCATTAATGGGAATGTTAGCTAATAAAACCCGTTATGCTACTCACTAAGCAACTGTATTTATTGGATTATTGGCAAGAACTTTTTCCTATGTAGAAGGGAGGGATACATGTACAGGTCAAACTTCTTTTCGGATCCCGGCGGGGCCCGGGGCTGTAGCAGCCCCGTGCTTAGGTCTCAGATGGAATTCAATTCTCGCATTGATCCCCTAATGAGTAGTACATTAAAAACCCCATTACCCAAAATAACAAACAGCTTGGATTTTTCTTCTCGTTATTTACGGTTTTTTCCGTTAGAATGCTGTTGTAACGCATACTCAAACTAACTTCAGAAACATTTCTATGAAAAATGTCATACACTAATTATGTTACCTACGTGCGTTTATCTTTGATATAATTACCTACTCTTAAAATGCTTTCTGTTTATGTAAATAAATACCCATACCCGTACCAGGCAATCGCAATTTTAACCGTATAATACCAACCGCTGTAAATCTCCTTTATAATCATGTTGATTGATGAAAATCACACATTAAATATTATTATTATTATACTCTTTATTGCATCATACAGTTTAAAACATATAGTCAAATACATAGTAAGCAAAGGTGGGCTTATCTCTAAAAGAGATCTAATATTGTGTCTGTCTTTTATTCCAGGTCCTGTGTGTGCTGGAGTTGTAGGACTTAAGATGCCTAGATATTGCCTTTTCGGTGATACTGTCAACACGGCTAGTCGATTCGAATCAACGGGTGCCCGTAAGTAAATACGTTTATACACTATGGTCCTTCGAACTGGATAATTTTAATTTATACTAAAACTATTTTTCATTCATTTTAGCTTTAAAGATTCACTGCAGTTCGGCCTGCAAGGTATTATTGGACCAATTAGGTGGCTACATTTTGGAAGAGCGTGGAATAGTTTCCATGAAAGGCAAACGCGATCAAATGACTTATTGGTTGCGTGGTGAGGAACCCGCCGCGGCCGCCGCGAGAGCGAAACGTAGAGCACAGAAAGAAGACGCCGGCCCACCGCAATCTGTGGATAAACGAGGACAGAGGAGTTCACTGAAAAGCAAAAATTGGAAGAACCAAATCGGAAGCCTGCATAGGTAATCCATACTTATATTAATAAATGTAGAAGCGTGTCCGTCTGTTACTTCCTTACATTGAACTGATTTGAGTGAAATTTGGTATAGAGAATATTTAAATCCCGGGAAAATATATTAATTTTATCCCAGAAATCATCTTTTGAGGGGGTGAAAAGGGAGACGTAAGTTTGATTGGGAAACTACTTTTTCTCGCAGACGGGCACACCGCTAGTACCTTAAATTTTCAGATACGTTTTACTATATCTTATAACTATGATGGCAGGCCAGTTGCTTACTTATTTGTAAATAATAAACTTCTACTGTACAAACCAACAATATTCCGATAATTCATTTCAGGTGTTGCAGCTTAGAATCTCCAAAGAAACTTAGATTTGCATCTGGAAATCATTTAGAATCTCATACGGATAGCGTCTTACATCACAGGAGTGATGAATACCTTATGGAGGTAGTGTTACCATATTCTATATAAAAAAAAATATGACATGCAATTAATTTATTTTTAAACATACTTTGTTTTTTTTGTAGGTCGTAGGCGAAGGTCGATTAGCGCCAACGCAGCGTAGTGATCTGTTGGAAGCACCCAGTCTTCGCCATGAGTATACGAGCGTTTCGTGTCCAATAATAGAGCATACGGAATGTCTCCCAGCACTTATAGAAACAAAATGCGACACGCCATTACTGATGAAAGAGGAAAGGCCGTGTGAACCGTGCGACATCAAATTGGTCATCAACGGTTGCACGTATGACGACAGGGATAGCGTTGGAACTCCCTTGCTCGCTGACACGTAACTTAAAAAGTTACACAAGTACTTAATGCAACGTTTCACTAGTCAAGGACTGCGATTATTTATAAACATTATTGTAACTTATTTTCATAGCTCAAAAGTACTTACTGCACAATTACCAGTGCGTACGTACTAACCACGAGCACCGTGGATTTAGCATAATTGTGATCTATGTCAGTATTATTAATAGACCATATATTAAATAGAAATTATTTAATAACATTAAACTCTTATTTCACAATTCACGGTAACATCGTTTTACTTACATATATTATTTACAACATCATTTCATATACATACATATGCATACCAAATATACATTTAATTGGAGTAGGATACATAGACGCAGGACGCGTAGGCCTCAGAGGTGATATAAATGTATGAGAACAAACTACCTAACTACACTAATTCACATAACTAGAATACATTGACTCTTAGGGTAAATGAAGCCGTGCGAACGTCTACGATATGCGGTACGACTTCGCGGTGACTGTGCCTCTATGGTATTACTGTGAAGGCTACGCGTTCTGCGGGCTTTTATGACATATAAGAGGGATCAGACAGCCGATTCCCTGTCGAGAAGCGGTGGCGCGCGGCGAAGTGACGAATCGCTACTACGAGTGCCGCTAAAGAAGCCGAGAAGCCACGAGCGTATCGCGAACCGCGACATCTTGCGGATGTCGTTCTTCTCCACTGCTATGTTCTCCAGGGAACGCCACTTCTTATAGAACTCTATGTAGTTGGCGTCGTGCACTTTCCGCTTGGGGCGGTCGAATTTGTTGTATAGGCTGGTTTTGCGGAGAAGGGGGCTGTCTTCGGTTTTGTCGTCAGTTATGATGCCTATAATGGTTCCGTTGAAGACGGGGTCGCCGGAGACAGTGGCTACGGGCACGTCGGCGTCCAGTGATCGCGTGGTGTGGTGTCTACGTATGCGCGCATCTCTCGGTAATATGTCAAGTGATTGGGCGCGCAAACCTTGTGACCGGAGAGATTCGCCGTCGCCGTCGCCCACGGTGGATGACGCTATCGAACTCAGCGCGTTTCTGTTGAAAACACAGCGTGTTAGTGCTGCGGTGGTGATGAGACATATTCGAAAGGCAAACATATAGCTTAACTATCGACTACAATATATTATAACTACTATAATATATTATATATAACATTTAGAGATGTCAAATATTGTTATTGCTATTTAAAGTCACACCTTTTCTTATTCTATCGTTATTGCAAAAAAAGTGACAGTAAAGCACAAATTTTAGTCAAACTTTTAAATTAATTGACATTCTATTTTCTATATTTCTTTTATCTGAGTGCAGCCACATCAACAAAGCATCTTGAAAAATATTGATGTTCTTTTAAAAAGATAATTGTGCCACACTGTGAATTATTCTTGTCATTTCATTTCATGTGTTTTGATGAGTATAAGTTATACAAAGGGAATAATAAGTCACTACTCCCTTATTAGTATAGATCAATTTTTTTAAAACTGTCTACCGGAACTAAGAGACCAAGGGCATGAAAGAAATAATAATTTCGTAGAACAACTGAGAGCGCAAACAAAAGGCAATTTGGTACTCTGTTCACGGAAACAAGTCACAGTAGCATGAAAACTGCGATATATGACATATTATATCATCAAATCAAATTACTATGAAGTTTGACAGTTAAACGCGATAAAAATCTTGTTGTAATGTATATTGTGGTGCTCATGCTACAAGGACTGGAGTACTTTATTTATCACACAAACGCTAACTAAACGGCTCTTATAATAACGTCAGCATTCATTCCGACTAATGACTACTTTAATTTTTTTATGACATATTTTGGTAATACGATATAAAATATTGTTAAGATTTTCTTTGAGTAAAAAGGATGCGAATATGACCAGTGTTGCAGAGATAAATGCCGAGCCAGTCACCATCTTCTACCAACACCTATCCATATGTCATTGCCTATCCATCTTACCCCATGTCGATTAGCAATTTTGCTGAAAGATAGTATTATAGAATGATACTTTACTGCAATGTTGTTTAAGGTGTTGGATACGAGGGAGCTAAAATTCGAACTCTATACTTTGTTTTTCGAAAAACGTTTTTGCGCCAACTTGTAAATGGAGTTTTCGATTTAGTTATTTTTACTGGAATACACAACAGAATGATGAATATCCACTTTTTATGGACTCCATAAATAACGGTGAGGATGGTTGGTGTATCAGTTTATAACTTCTGTACCAGCTATCTTCGCGTTTGGGCTTTATCACCACTTAACATCAGCCCCTCACCGAAACGGGATATGATAAAGCGATATATCGGCATTAACTGTCAGACTACTGTCAAACTCCACTGTAGTCTGAGAGTTAATGCCGATATATCGCTTTATCATATCCGGTTTCGGTGGTCATGCTAGAGGGGCTGGGGGGTAGTCATTTACCTACCTTGCCATAAAAAAAAATTGTCTAATACCCTATCAAAACGTTAATAATATGCGCGCGTGGTACCTGGTGCGCGCCACCATGTCGGTGCGCAGCCGGCGCGCGGGCGGCGGGGAGGCGGGGGGCGCGCACGCCCCCGGCAGCGACGCCGCCGACGACCCGCCCGCCGACCGCGTGCTGCTGGCCACGCGCTGTCGCACGCCGCACATGCCACCTATGACAAAACAACCATTGCAATTATAGATTAAAACAAAAAGGGAAGATACAGCACTCGCGGCTCAAAAATGATCCGCTTAAATAGTGGTCATCATCAACATCATCATCAGCCTATTAATGTCCCCACTGCTTGGGCACAGGCTTTCCCTATGAATGGAATAGGGAGATTGGGCCATGACCCACCTCACGGGCCCAGTGCGAGTTGGTGGGTGCTAACGACTGCCGATGCAGCCGGGACCAACGGCTGGCTTAACGTGCCTTCCGAAGCACGGAGAAGCTCGAGATAGTAAATTTTCGGTCACCAATCCAATGGCCGATCACTGCGAAAGTTGCTTAAATTCAACGATCGCAGCGGAACGCGCTAACCACTTGCGCCATCGAGCTCCTCTAGAGAAATTGTGTTGCATGACCACAATTCGCTTTAGTCACAATTGGACATTCAAACACGCTGCATGTGCACTCAATATAACAATATTGCATATATTCCGTGTTATTCAGATAAAACAATCCCTTCGATGCTTTTATAAAGAAAACAAACAGTTCAAAATCAAATAACAAATGCCTCGGCAACACTTCTCATTCGTAAAACTGCAAAATCATTCTTTCTCAAAAATCACAGTTTGTCGTGAATGATATTTACGTAATCGCCATTTTGTTATCAAGAAATGGACAACAATATAGATCTGCCGTACGGACTCGGACACGCGGACTCGCCGTTTAGGTCGCTCTGCGTTGAAGCGTACAGTTCTGTCTCGCTCGCTCGACTGAATGTTATTTACAGACGTGTGCGAGTGTGTAAATTGCTTATGTAGTTGAGTCGGATCATATTTTATTTGGTACTAGTATGAGCGAACCGTATCTTCCCTTTTTGTTTTAATCTAAGATTATTAGGGGAGCCCAAACGGGGATTTTTGGATTTACTATTCTACTCGAGCTCTATATTAAGTGTAACTAGACATTTACATTACATCATATATATCAAAGTAGTTAGGGCAGACTCATCTCCGCAGCACCCGTTCACGAGTATGACGCAGGAACCAGCCATCGCTTCGCTCTACCATATTTTAGGGAAGGTAAAAAAACCCGCCTCACACGACATGATATATGGATGCGTAATTTAAGCTTCTAAATTGGCAATACGAAAGTCAGGTAATTGCCCGACTTACCGCGCTACACTACACTTCGCTACGTGTAAATATTTTACGGTTTTCCAGACAAAAAGCCCTATTCGTGTTTTTAGCATAGAGCACAAATTATAAGGGAACTATTAGAGACACGAAAAACGTGTAATTTCATTGGTAAGTATAGTTTTAATAAAAAAAATGTAAAAACATTTAGTTTGTAGTTGTTAATTACTTATTTTGACAGTTGCTGACACCGTTGGCACCTGGAGGCTAAAAACAAGATTTAATCTGCTTTATGCATGACAGTGAAAGAGACTACTTTAGTGCACTCTATTGACGGCTGTTAGCAGGGAAGTTGGGGCGGGGACTGCTTTTGCTATTTTAATATGCATTATTGTTGGCGTATAACCTGTCTATACAGGGCGTTCCACGGGTTTGTCACACGGAGGGCAAGAATATTAAAGATAGGATATTTTACTGAAAGAAGACATCATTTTATTTTTAATAATAACAAGAACTGCATTCACAGTTTAAAAAAACTCAAATTTGTGAAATGTGAAAGAAAAATAAAACACATGTATTTTATGATAACCGTCGAAAGGGTTTATCATGAGGATTATTTTTTCCTAAATAACATGACATTTTAAATGAAAGAAAAATCACGAAAATTCTTTTTTTTTTTAAATAATTGAACTCAAACTACAATAACAAAGAAACGATGCAAGGTTTGTAAAGGTATCGCTTTATTATTATTTTCACGTACTAATAGTAAGGAAATCCTTTATTATTAAGTGAGCCGGTATTAGTTACTAAATACTTTGATTATATAGTTACTAAATACTTTGATACTATAATTAGTACTTGCTCGATTAATCATTTTAACATTAGCTGTTGAAAGCACGGAAAAGAGGAAATTTTCCTGAACAAAATTTTAATTTCATGATCTTCCTTTCATTTAAAATGCTATGCAGGATAAAATATTCTTATCATTAACCCTTTCGGTAGTTATCATAAAATACGTCATGTGTTTTTCGTCTTTTCTCTATCTAGGGTCGAACTGAAACATTTATTGCAACTTATGCCTATATATAGGAAATTCATTTGATGCTCATACATAAATTCTATTTTATAAACGGAAGTTTTTTTCGTTAAGTACTTAACGTGTAACATTTTCGGTACTTTTTAAGGCGGGACGAGGTTGTAAATAATTACCAGATAATGATGGATGTCTGGAATCCGTAAGCTTTGGACTTTTCCTCGGCCGACGGAACAACGGCCTCTCTTCTCCCTCCACAGCCCTTTTCTGGATCGCTTTGTCTGTAGCGCTGACCAACCAATAAGTTTGTAACTGCAACAGACATAACATTTTTAACAATACACAAACGTTGGATGGCCTTCTATTGTTTTGTGGCGTATTGTGCGCTTCTATACTATAATGTATTTATTTGTAACTCTTTTTACAGAGTAAACGTGGTAATAAAGCCAATCAAATGTCAAATTTAATTAAAGATTGAAGGTAAAAATTGTAAAAGAATGCGGCTCGACGGACCACACAATGTAAAATGTCAAATTTTAATGATTTTATTATTTATATAGTTTACTGCCTTATCTTTAAGGCAGAAATATACTTATATGTCGTATTGTGTTGTGACGCGTCAGAGATGTATCGGTTTCATACATTTAGTACGGTTAGAACTATTGTGTGCCGCGACAAGGGCGTCGCCAAAGGGGGACTAGAGATCAAATGTAGCTAGCCGGAAAGCGACCAAGACATTGCCCCCCCCCCCCTGCTGGGCTGGCGACGCCCTTGTGTTGCGATATGTCGACACCGTTTCCACTCTAACCGTACTAAATGTATGAATCTTTGACGCGTCACAACACAACACGAGAGATAAAGTACTGCCTTTACTTTTGATGGTTATAGCACCGCGCGGGTTTCAAGGATATATCCACTAATCTTGTTGAGAGCGTGCTTGCAGTTCAGCGATTTATAAATGCGAGGGTGCTACTGCACTTAAATCCGGTTCGAAGGACCATAATGCAGGGTGCATTATGGGTGCGTTATAATGATTTTATTAATTTACAGACTTTACTGACCTGTCCTTTACCCTTGATGGGTATAGTACCGCGCGGCTCGACAATATAACCGCCGATCTTATCGAGCGCATGCTTGCAGTTCGGCGATATATGTATACGCAGCGGTTCCCCGTTCGATTCCATGCGAGACGCAGTATTCACCGTGTCGCCAAACAAACAGTAGCGAGGCATAGTTAAACCCACCACGCCGGCCACTACGGGACCTGGAAAATAACGGGTAAATGCGAGTCAAACTTGCAAATGAAATATTTCGTACCGTAATAGTACAATATTTAAAACTAGATCTAGAAAAAAATTATCGATTTCGTATTACAGTACTACAATAGCTACAACTTTATATATATTTATTTATCTTCACGACGTTTCCCGGGATAGGCAGAGAGAGTACCAAAAAAAAGGCAAAAAATTTAGACCCCTTTATATGACTTGTTGTGAAAGCGATCACAGTATTCTGTGAAATTTTCAGGCGTCTACTTATATCCGTTCCACAGATATGGCTAGGCTTGCACAGACAAACAAATAGACAGCAGATCATGTTGATAGAGTTCCATTTGTAATTTTTGGATGACATACATAACAACATACATAATGGTATAAAACTAATACCTGTGTGTATCCCTATTCTCAGTTTCAGAGTTTCATTTGGTCTATGTGATATTTTGTGACTTTTAACGGCGTTCAACAATTCGAGCGCCATCGACGCGATTTCACCGACGTGTCTGTCGTTATTCCTTATAGGAAGCCCTGAAACCTATTATACATTGTTAAATATTTATTTACACTTAATCGCAGTAAAATTAACAAATAAGGGCAAGGGAAACATAGAATACTTAATATTTTTTTATTTGCCGATTTTAAGACATGAGAAAGAAACTATTTATGTAATATTATTTATTTATTTCCAAGGAACATACTATAATGTTAGTTACTTACCACCATGTAAGCATCTCCTATCGTTTCCACTTTGTAAACATCATAGCCTCTTATGATCCTATCGAATACAGTGTACAAGTCGTTCAAGAAGTTGACAACCTAGAAAAAAAATGAAGTGTGTGTGTTTTATTTAATGAAATAAAACGTAAACTCATATGAAAATGGTGTGTCATATCTCAAGATAATAATGAAAAAAAATATTGAAATTTAACCCATCACATGTACCAGGAATGGAATCAGCATACTACGCTTTACAGATGTATGCACTCACCAATATGCTGCCGGGACCTTAACGGACATGTTAAATTTCTTCTAGGTTATTGAAATTTTTCTAGTAAACAATATTCTTTACGTGCAAAAATCTAACACTTTAACGCTTAATCAGAAAAAAACTATCATTATATTTTATTAATAATTTGATTCTTCTAGTATTTTTTTCTATAGATGTTAAAAAACTAGCATTTTATTTCATTTTAATGTAGTTTAATGCTTAAATAGAAATAAAATAAAAACTTATTCGAGTTATAATGCTATTGAAACTTAATGGCGGCTGTGAAGTTAGCGCAAATCGCGTCGCAATAAAACAAATCTAGGGTGATGTAGCTGAACTGAAACCTTAGCGTTGTTGCGCTCGTTGCTAGCGTCACAGCTGCAATAATGTTGATATCATTCTGTATAGTTAGCGGCAAACTTCTTGAGCAAAACCAAAACCAGACAAATAAACTTGCGCAGTAGGCGTTTTTGTATGTAATATAAGAAAACGATCTAAAGTTATTTACTAATGTTTATGGAGTCCATAAAAAATCATCATCTATATTTATATCTATTGTGTATTTCACTAAAAATAACTAAATGAAAAACTCCATTTTAAAGTTGCCGCCAACAAGTTTCTCTGGAGAATATGGCGTCTCAATGGTCACATACGTGCCATTAAAACGTCAAATGATACAATGTATTGTCTACTAACCGGTAGGTTAAAGTGACCGTGTGATGTCATTTCAAGCCCCGCAAGCGTTTTGGGTAATGTGACAATAGATAAAAGAAACTCATACTTTCTTTTTCGTGGGTTTTTAGTAAAATTATAAATATTTGCCTTAATAATAGTAAAAACCCCTGCCAATATTCATTCTTAATACAGATGCTATCAATTGGCACGTTTATTTTTAATTCTGTCAAATACCCTATTGCTACTACGCAGGCTTCCTTGTTTATCATCTCGGCAGCCGCTGAGCCAGTCCCAAGGGCTGGTTGAGCGGGTGGGCGGTATCTGATGGGGAGGAGGAGTCGCACATAACCTTGTCTCTCACACAGGGGAAAATGCGTTACGCATACCCCATGCGTTACGCATTTTCCCAATACAAAACAAGGCTTCCTTGTCTATAGTCGAAGCTCAAGAAGTTTACCAGGGTGCATACCTGTAACGGCGTGCTCTCAGCCGACATGGACGTGAACCCAACGATGTCGCTGAAGTATATGGTGACCGAGTCGAAGGACTCCGGCTCCACGCCTTCGCCCGTGGTGAGACGGCGCGCTACGGACCTGCGCCAATCAACGCGTTTTACTAATATTTTACGTGTAATACACGCGGACCTGCGCCAATCAACGCATTTTGCGAACGCTTTACGTGTAATACACGCGGACCTGCGCCAATCAACGCAAAAAGATACGATTTTAAAATATATTGATATTAACGATAAATGAGATTATTGTAAGATATTAAGAGACTTGAGATAATTGTGTACTTAAAAGGAATATTCAACTCATAGTTCTCATAATAATACATACATCTCATAACTTTTTTTTATATAATGTCAGTTTTTCTAGGCCTTCTACAGCAAATAATTCGTCGCTATAATCCAAACACGAACGACCATAATCAATTCATCAAAACGAAAATCCTAATTTACTCAGGAACTTAGCGATTTAATTTTATGTCAATATTTGGAATTTCACATTTTAGATTACAACATTAAAGATTATTAATAAGTAATTGTAATAAATAGCGCAATTTAAGCATGCTATTATTAATATTTTAATAAAATTGTACTACAACTACTGTTTACAGAGACCAAAACTACTCACTAATAATTGAGGTGAGTGCACAATAACAAAAAAAATATATTTCACAATCATCTCTAACCTATATTCATACCTGATTGTCGTAAAATTTTAAATGTAAGGCAAGATTTTGAAAATATAAACTTTAAATGCATTATTTTTATTATATATCGTAATTAAACCCTAAATATTGTAAAATTTGTTTAGATAATAATCCAGCACATTCTTAGTTTTTTTGTGATGGTAATTTCTCATATTACAATTTTCCAATTACCATTAGAAATTTCTAAAGTTATTTTATCCTACTATTCGAAGACGCTCCTGCATTTACGAAATAATTTAGGTTTGAAACATTAATTTCCTATCCGAGCCGTACCTATGTAAACTACAACTGTAAAATGAATATACTATGAATGAAATATCTCGTCCCATCTTTGATATATTTCAACTCGAGCCGTTCAGTATAATTATATTTTGTATGAAACTCTCGTATATCGTAGCGTAATCGCCTCGCCACGAGACAAGAGCATTTCCGAAGCGAGGCGATTATGTTTTTTTATTCAGATTAGTGTGCGTTGGACTAAGGTGTTTCATACAAATAATACTAAACGGCTCGAGTTGGTACGGTGACGATCTCTTTCCAAGTTGATATGTCTCTGCTACGAGCACTACACAGAGTGTAGTCTTTGTTCATCGAATTATAAATGTCCTTCGAGTGGTGTGAGCAAAACGCAGTGGACGGGATAATACGCCAGGCTACTTAATGTGCACTCAAGTGTGTAAAATTCTACATCAAGAGATTTAGAAATAAACTATTTAAGATGCAGTATAATAATATATTGAAGCATGCTAGTGCAAACGTGAGACTACACACTACTTAAAACTTATCCCGATAAAAGTAACTATCAGTTTAAAAACGCAATAAAAAGCAATCATATTCACCGTTTTGGGTAAAAACTCCATCACCTGGCACTCCATAACAACCACAAACCCCAAAGCAAGCTCTACGCTACCAAACCAATAAAGAAAACTTAGTCACGGCCATCACGGTGTCTCAAATATGCTGACAAAGTGATGTATCCCGTGACCTACTGTCCAATGCAAACCATTATTTACTACTATCACCAACCAGTAGAGAGTTAATTACCTCAAAACATTTTCACGACATTTCTATAATGGATTCAACCTCCACATCTGGAAAAGAACACAAGTACAACAAAGTGAATACATTAACTTTTTCCTTTTTGTTTTTCTGATTTGTGTAAGTAAATCCACTGGTTTACATGAAGTCCAGGTCGGAATACTTTGCATATACTGCCAACAAACTCACATAGAACATACGGCAGACACAAATAAATATAATAATATCCGTACACCGTACATATATGAACATATCTATGTCTTACCTAATAATTTTGTACCCATTAATTTTAAAATATAGTTTGTACAAAAATATGCGAAAGAATTTTAGGAAAACATAAATTTCAAATTTCAGTCACTATATGATTAGATCGAAAACTTATTTTTGAATAAATCATAGTAAAGAAAAATTAAAAACAGTAAAACGAGGGGTCCTGAGTATTTACATATAAGCAAGTCGTCATGTCAACACAAAATATTAGTTGGACTAAATGTAAAGCAGTGTGCACACCACTGCGTCAGCCGGGAACGTCACAGCTTGTTGTATTTGCGTCTTCCTCAACAGTGCTCACATTTACATTAATTACACCATGTTATTCACCTTTAGCAACAACAGGATTACAACTAGGAAAATAGTATAATGGGGTTAAATGTAATCATTTTTTTACGACTTTAGATAGGTACATTTAACATGCAGAAATACACAATAAAAATTATTTCATGTTCCTTTGAACTTTAAATGTAGAAACGTTTTACAATAGTTACAAAATATCCAAGCACAATTCAACAAAGTGATGTGAAAAACAGTGATGGTTTAATGAATTCTCAAAAACTATTAATATTCATATCATATGAGTTTTTTAATAATCAGCCTGAACTCTGAAGTGTTATATTATCTTTCTAATATTGCCAACCTCAAGTGTAGAATAGACTTACTTTGGTAGCATTCTGTGCAATAAATCTTCAGTTTTCTGCTTTTCTTCTATGAGTAGCCTCGTTCTTTCGGTGACTAGTTCTTCTAAGTTATTAGCATACTTCTCCATCATGTCCATCATTTGGTCCATTATATTTCTTGATCTATAAAAAACAAAAAATAATAGATTAATTTTCATGGTGTCACCGACTCCCGGGTTCAAATCCCGGTGGGGGCAGATGTTAGTGTGATGAATACGAGCATTTGTCTTACTTTACTCCAGTCATGGATGTTTAATATGTATTTCTATAAAAATATACTTATATATGTACATTATATGTATTCTATCCGTTACCCTAGTATCCCATAACACAAGCCTTACAGTGCTTACTTTGGGGCTAGGCTAATTAGTGCGTATTGGAAATATTTATTTATTATATTATTATTTACTATACTAATGCGAATGCTACTCACTTCCCGGACTTCATTTTCTTAAGGCGGCTCCTTATAGTGGGAAAGTCGGGCCGCACATTAGGGTCCTCGGCCCAGCAGTCCTTCATGCACGATATCACGTAGTCCTCCGTGTAGCCCTCCAGGCTGCCAGTGTCCGGGCGAAACACTTCTTCGCCATCTAATTTAGGCCTCTTGACGCGCTCTACTATATCTACAAAATTATTTTTTTGTTTTAATTACTATGTTCACATGGTCTGACTTTCAGAGGGAAAGGAAGGCATAAAATGCAACAGTAATAAGTTTGCGCAGATGATAAACATAAAGACAGACGTGGTAGTTTCGGAATTAGGTAAAGTCGATATTTCATAATCTGTCACAATGGCAAACAATATCTAGAATTTAACATAGACAAAAAAAATAGTAATTAGAACTTGAAATTATTTTGAAAGGCAGTAAATCGTGGCGTATTTACTGATACCTATTGTATTTTATTCATCAATTTATATACAGTTCACGACTTGCGATTGAAACGTAGATGTATTATTTCAGTAAATAAACAGATTTCGAGAATAAAACAATATTATTTAGTTGCAATAAGTACGACATTCGTTGTTAAAGTGTCGTAATTACGAATACAAATTAGGGAAAAGTCAAAATAGAATTCTAATACATATAAGAGCTAATATAAAGTACTCTGAAAATCACACAATACAGATATTATAAAAGTTGCACATAGTCCGATCAATGAATGTCTATAAATACAGTAAACATCTTCGTGTGAAATTGTCACAAACATATTATTGCTATATGAAGCGGTCTCTGACCCCCTTGTAGACCAAATAATTTGACAACCAAACAACAATTGAGAGACATCTAATCATTTATCTAGATCAGTGTGACTTAACCAAACATCTACCGGCACAACTGACAAACATTAACGCTACTTGCTAATACTTTCTGTATTTTTTTCGGTAACGGAAAAAAACTGTAAACGATTCTAGCTAGCTAGTGATATCATAAAAACATGTGTTTTCTTGAATTCTTCATAATGTCTGACTCACCTTTTGGTTCTAAAGCTGTTACCCCAAAAGGGCCTCTTCTTGCAATTATCTCGTATAAAATTATACCAAATGCATAAACGTCCCCCTTTTGCGTCCCACCTACAGTCCCGTTGGGATTGTCCAACTCTCTTAAGAGTTCTGGGGACTTCCATAATAAACCTGCGAAAACAGAAATACACTTATGGAATTATTAACTTCTCAGCTAAATATAAGAAAAAAAATATTAAACAAAATTACAACCTCTATAATATTGGTGCTCCCCTATAAAGTCGTTTTCAGCACAATATCTTAATTCATGGAGACCAAAATCGGTAACCTAAAAGTATAAATCAATTCTGATTAATTTTATCGATTTTCCACTAAACCAATATAATTATCGAAGAACTACTTTTTTACCTGCAGCATCCATCTAGATGTGACTACACAATTCGAAGACTTCAGATTTCCGTGAAAAATTAATGGTGAAGTATGAATAAATGTCATACCCTGTAAAGGAAAAATCAAATGCTGTTTATTTAACTACTACAAGTAGGTACTACAAGTAGGTAAAACCTACCACAATAGAGACAGTAACTCATATTATAAGCATGTTCGAGCAGACCAGTATAGTTTAACATGGCCGTAGTATGTGAGCTACGTAAACAGTTATCATCAGAATGAAATTACCATACTATTTTAGATTAATAATTATTTTAATATAAAAAATATAAAGTATGTTTTCATCGTTGTTACAATTACTGTTTGGTATATACTATTTTTGACAAAGCGAACGTAGATACATCTAATGCTCACCTTAATGAGATCATGGATTAGTGAAGATATAAATATTTTATCCAACTTTATATCTTCATTTTCAATTATATCCTGCAAGAAACAATAGTTACATAGATAATACGTAAAGTTTCAGTTAAAGAAAGACTGAAAGGACATTGTTCAGCGTCCATACATATTTAGCCTAAGAACCAACAATCATGAAATATTATTTTCTAGGTTCAAAATAGTAAGTAAATGACTGTAAAAACAAAGATTATTTGACGGACACTTCTGAGAACTTAAATTATTAGGAAAACTAAAATTTTTTTGAGGTTATGTTTAATATTCAATGAAACATAGGTCAACCTATGAATTTAGTATGAACTGAGTATGAAGTGAATTAATTAATTCATTTTATTCGGTGCGAGTTTAAAGAATAACTATTAGGAAAAACTTGGTTAGGTAGGAATCATGAATAAAATAAAAATTGTAGTTAGTTTTGCTTCTTATTTATTGACTATATTTCACATAATTGTATCATATTGTTTATTTTTAATATGTATATAACATGTATATTGTGTAAATATGCAGCGTGAATGTGTATTAGGTGTTCTTGAATAATTTGGCAGTAAGATCCTCTCAGGATGTTGTGGCACAGGTTCACTAGCACTTGGTAATAAGGTCTCTGCTCTTTGGTAACATCGATGGCATATTAGATAGCCGAAATAGTTAAATTAAAGGAAAAACAATTGCAAATAAACACACACAACAGGTAATCCGAAACGAGAATGCACTTTCCGGTTATTATAATACTCCTTGGAATGCACGAATGCCACAGATTACTATGAAACTGCATGCACCACAACCACAGAGTAACAAGTTTTATGCCGGCCCTTCACTTGACAACAGTTTGTCCTTGTCATGCTTATTAAGGAATGAAAAGGACAGACTGATGTCATGTTTTAAAATAGCAAATACGAATAGCCAAGTGAAGTGCCGGCATTAGGAAGAAAGAGTGTTTTGTTTGCAACGCTGCCATATATTATACACATAAAATGGTATTTATTGTCTATGATAACTTTTTAATTTAGCTTACTTAACTGGAAGTGCCCGTCACAATCTAAATACTGATAATTATCGCAAAAAATATACTAAGAATTATCATAAATGCCAAATTGGTGTTGGTTCTTAGGCAAATTTTAACATTGTCCTTTTAAGATCAGCAGAATATCATGAGTATGTTCAGCGCAGACAGACAATACGTTGATCTACATTGATGAAGCATCCACTTCAACAACAATGAAATATTATTATATTAATACTATTTGCTTTCATGTAACACCGCCGGTGCCGTGTCTGTCTGTATGTAAGCAATATCGCAAAACCCATACAAGCTCCCTTTGGCGCAATCGTCGGTGATGAGCAACATATAGAAAATCTATTCTTTTAACGGCAAGTCAATAATCAACCACCAGTTAAAGGGAAAATAATCTGATTCCGTCTCTTAGCAACGGTTGTTATTATAGTCTTACCTTTCGCCCGCTTAGTCTCAGAAAATAAAAATACTGTCATAAACGCTCTCGAAACGTAACCGCGAAAGTGCTAGAGATCGAATTTGCCAGATCACCGCGGGTCGCGACACAGGTCGAGTAATGCGGCTCATTCTAAAATGAGCCTTATACAGTGCGGCGTAAGGGAGAAAGTGCAACGACATCGGCACTTGTTTACAAGTTATGCGCGTTTACTGCGTAAGTATATGTAGGTACTTCGTACTCGCGGGTGCTAGCTAATTTTCAATTTAACAGGTACTTTCTAGAATGCGTCGATCGGCGTATATAAGCGCGATTGGCGCCGCGCATAGGGTTTCCAGGCCATAAAATACAAAGGCCGGACTGCGCACTATATAAGGCCTGACATTTTGCCCTAAAAGCCGGACATATTTTTTTTATTGCCAAACAATGTTTTTACAGCTGGGCTGTTGAAAAAAGTATTTATACGTGATGTAAAGTGAGAATGAGAACGAAAATGGACTGTGTGCCATATATATGCATTTTATATATGCATTATTTTATGCAACAGTCTGCTCTCTTGTCCGCTCGTCCGCTCATTGTCGTACGAATCGCCACTCTGATAAAAAGCCTGACAAAAGCCGGACAGGCCAAACACGTACATATTTGGCCGGACGCGACCGCAAAAAGCCAAACATGTCCGGCTTAAGCCGGACACCTGGCAAGCCTAGCCGCGCAGAGACAGTTGAGTTTCAACAGCGATTTCGGAGCGAATCCAAAGGCGATCAAAGTGCAACAAAAGTGTTCAAGTGCGATAGTTTAGAGACTTGTATAGTGAAATACAGTGTTTAGTGAGTGTTTTGTAATTAACATTGTGTATTAATTTTGTGAACTGTGTGGTGAATAAAGAACTGTCAAGCGTGAACTGGCATATAATTTCGAACCCCATCCCGACACGTAACAATACCTTAGCAACAAAGCTCGTGTAGGCCTACCTCTTACTGGAGTTAGATTATTGACACTGACCGTTAATCAATTAATGATAATAATTAAATAGTTTATTGAATTAACCATTGTACTACAATTTGTGTACCCTCATTAATAGAGGATACATTTAAAACATAATCTTGGTTTCACTTGCTACTGAAATACTGTTAAGACACCAAAGCCCAATAAAAAAGGCTTGAGTAAGACGTAGGAAAGTAAGTACCGTTCTGTCATACAGGTCAAAATAGCATTGCGTCTTTGGACGTAAGATACAAGGATCACATAAATTTTGAACTTAAATATTTTAACAAATTGATAAGTAGAATTACCTATGTGTCACAACTTGATATTATAGATAGTATACAATATACTAGTAAACTAGGCCGAGCCTGTTAAATATGTAGTACTTCCTTCCTAAGGACTTGATGATTAATAGAAAACATGCCTTAATTATAACCGCCCGCGAATTTATCCATGTTAACTTCAGTTTTTTAAGAATCCTCCAGTCACCTTATATTTTTTCAAAATAAAGTATCATATGTCTCAATCCAGGTAATAAACTATGTGTATCAAATTTCATCCAAATCCTGTTCAGTAGTTTTTTGCGTAATTAAGTAAGAAATATACAAACTTTCACATTTATAATTGTTAGCAGGATTATGAATCTGTTTATGATTGTTTATTATTATGTTAATAATTATAATGTGTGCCTTTAATTTCGTAAAATAGAAATGATTATTGCCAACAAAGGTCTATGCTACCTGTAATAAATGAATTATTTACAAGTGATCGCGCATGGCTCCGTCCGCGTTAAGATTAGATTTTCAGAATCCCACAGGAATCTAACATTTTTCCGGGACAAAAAGTATCTTATGCTTCAATCCAGGTCATATACCAAAAGCGTACCAAATTTTATCTAAATTTGTTCATTAGTTTTTACGTTATTCAGTAACAAACATACAAAATTTCACATTTATAATATAAGTAGGATGAATTCACTCACATACAAGCTCCCTTTGGCGCAATAGTCGGTGATGAGCAACACCCGCAGCGGTTCCACGACGGCTCCTATGAAGGAGTTCAGATTGTCGTGGCGCAACTCTCGCAACAAACGCATTTCCTTCATCACCTCCCGCGATATATCCTGGACAGAAATGGGTTTTATCATTCACATATATAAGTTTAGCTGTTGGTTCAGCGGATAAAGTAATGGCTCATGTTTAAATGATTCTCAATAAAAAATTGTAAATGATCACCAAAATGTCAGCTGCCAACATAAGGGTAACTGCCACTTTAGGTTTGCAATTGTATTTTTTGTGATCATTTAACAGCTATTTTTTAAAGATCATTTAAAAATTTGTAAATATAATTTTTCGTCGGAACAAATGTCAGAAAATACCTACTAAAATTGTGAAATCTTGTTTACCTTCTTTTTTGAAAACTTCAGTTCCTTAATTCTTACTACATTCCCTCTGTACTGAGCTGTTGTAGTGAATATTTGCGTGCAACATCTGCTTTCACACGATATGCCACTAGCTAAACTCAACTAAAAAAAACAAATGCATTCATTTTAATAAAGCAGAAGCTTTATTGTATTTATTGTTATAGTGAATTTTTAACTATTTATTATCATTTTAAATTCCATATTTAATCTCTTATTAGATCGCACAAGAACATAATAATTCACACGCAAACTGTTTACCTTACTCGGCGAGCAAATCAGCCCGCTTCCCAAATACCCGGCGATTTCTTGCGGGTCGATCTTCCAGAGTAAACCTTCAATCTCCTGTTCGATCTTCCACTTGCGGTAAATGCTTATGGTGACAACTAGAGCACAGAACAGCGTAACAGCCAATGTGCCCGCTACCACAAGCGAAGTGATTTGCGAATCGTCTTTCGGACATTTCTCGTTGAGAAACCCGCACGAAGGTTCGTCCTCGGGTTTCACGTTATCCGGCCAATCGATAGGTAAACGGGGATTGAGTTTGTATTCCTGCAATGAATAACCGCGTAGATATTGATTGATCGATCGAATTTGTATTAATCTCACCCCCGGAAAATTTTTTTGAACATAAAGCATAGACAACGGAACGAAGTCTGCACAGTAAGCAATTTAAGATACGGAAACGTCTGAAAAACTTATGATTTCTCATGATAAGTGTGTTCCAAATTTACTATATACAGAATTTAGAGCCTGTTTTTTTATATAAGATTATATCATAGATTTCAACTAAGTTCATATGTATAAGAAGAATTGGTGTGGTTTTATGATACCACGATGCAATTAAAACTTATAAAATCATACATAATAAAAAAGTCCTTCCTCGGTTAAGAATCGAACTCTGGCGAGCTTTCTACCACTGAACCACCGACACTTGTTGATAAGGTCTGATTTTTTTAATAACAATTTAAAATGTAATATGCATAAAAGTTCAATTTAAAATGCCCTAAAATAAAACGATAGTCTACGCCGCAGCTTAAGAGACGATCTTTAGTGAATAAACAAAATGAACACTCACAGGGAACTCCCTCGAGCTCTGCTGGAAGTGACCCACGGGTATCATGCTGTAGGTGCAGTTGACGTCATCATCGCTGAAGGTGGTAGGTTTGAACGCCAGCACCGAGAAATTACCCTCAGAATCACCCCGTTCATCAAGGCGGATCGTCATACCGGACACACCTTTGTATAATAAAGTTTTATTTAAGGATATATCTATGAAGCTATTTGTCACCACAAATAAACTTCATTCGTGCATTACATACAAGTACGACTTTGAATTTATTGCCTTTTAAATAAAATAGCTTTTGTTTTATTTTTAGGAAAAGCGAAATTACTTATATTTCATTAGTGCCAGCGAATTCGTTTGTGTAGAAATATTGGTTTCACATACAAACTTTGAACACGCGTTGTTCTCTTTTAGGGATTGAGTTTTGGAAAATCCTTTCTTAGCGCACGCTTACAGCTTAGCACATGTGTGCCAAAGGACATGGTAAAAATTTGTATAAGCGACTGCCCTAGCAATGTCTAAATATTGTACTTAGTAATATTTAATGCTGAATGGCTAAATCTACGACATTAAATACCCTAGATAGAACATCACGAACAAAATCGTGCCCAAAACCTGTCCAAAAGGTACATTAGACGATCCAGGGAGCTCCGTAACATGATCACGTAGTCAAAAACAAAAAAGGGCATTATTTAAACATTAAAAGTCAGCTCTAATGCATACTGTATAAAGTCTTAATTAAAACGCATGCGTCAGAGTTGTGACAGTTAGAAATGCGAGCTCGTGAAATTTTAAGATTAATTGCTAAACGCGAAAGAATATAGACTTTAATTCTTTGACTCAACGCGCAATTCTGAATGCACTGTTACCAATATAGCAGGTATGGACCGCGAGGAAAAGAGACGGTTATAATAGCGACCATGCATTTGAATATCACAAATAAAATATTTCTATTAAATCAGTTTATAGTAAATATTAGAACAAAATTTGCTTCAAATGCGTTAAATTAACAAACATTGATTTAATACTTGTCGAAAAAAGGACACTTTACGTATTATAAGTATTTATTTCCCATTTTTTCACGGAACTCAGCGGCATCTTGACTTTTCAATGATCCGCGCGTGACTGTAAACCCAGAAGTGCTTGAGTCGTGTTCCAGCGCTTTTTGATTGAGACACATTTTAGGCGCACAAGGTGTATAGAGGGAATATAATATCGTTGGGCTCAATATATATAATTTCTATGAAAGAAGGCTCAGGAACTTTTGATGAAGTAATAATCTTGAAAATTATGAGAAGTCCTAAAACGTCATTACCTTGCTTCATTTGATAAAAGATGTTGCCAATTGCAAAGCCATCAATTTCGCATTTCCTAAGAATCTTTCCTCCCATGATAAACACTTGACAAAAAGTATTTTTAAAGGAAAAAACCAATAATTAGGAAACCTGAGAAGTTTTATTTTGTTCATATAATTTATCATACAGCCTTGTCTCAAGCCTGATCAGAATAATAAAATCTATTATTGCGTAGGCCTTCAGTGATTTGGTATAATAAAATTTTGGCCCAAATATGTCATCATTTTTAGGAGTTTGGAATTAATACTGTTTATTTTGGTATACTTACAGGAATAATTTTGTGTGCATTTATTATTCCTTTATTTTTGTAAAACAGAACATTTTCCTTTTAAAACAGACATGAAGTAAATTTTTATACTTTGAAATATTTGATTATTTCGCGAAAGTTGAATGAGAATAATAAACAAGTAATATATAATAAAAAAATATTATAATGATAAGAGCTAGTTCAAAATAATTATACACGTTATGGGCAGTTTCTTAGCCATGTCTTTTCAACGCAATGTGTTCAGTGGTTTGATAGTCAGTAACGGTTGCCTTTTATATAAATAAAATTTATATAAATATATACTACATAGGAGGATTTGTTGAATTCTTTAGGAAAGTGATGGAGGAACAGACAGGCTCAAATTAAGGGATCCAAAATTGGCAAAGTTTCCGAACTGAGTATGAGCTTTATATTGCTTGCGAGATCCGCAATATATTAAGAAAATTTTACAGTTTATGCTGACTTGATGCAGATACAAGTTCAACATAATCAATATAATCTTTTAAAGAGAGAATGATTTGATGATGTATTTTTTTATTAAAAGAACTCTTAAACGTGTTACTAAACACATCATTATGATTGAGAATTTGATGTTATTGATATTAAGTAAATTGCAATTAAATTAAATAACAATGTGATAAAAATCAAAAGAGAGTATGAAAGAAAGTAAAGATCCTAGCTTCTTAGTAGGAACTGGTGTTTATTGCACAATATATTATTATTACAATTAGTACGGCAAAAACAGGTAACGATTAACAACCACACGATTGTAATAAATGATTTGATATGAACAGTAAATATTATTATTAGCAACTGCCGACTTGTTCAATAAATTTAATAAACAAACAATACCTCTGTCTTGTGATCACGGAATCTCAAGATATCGATTTCTTCAAATAATGAGTAAATAAAAACATAAGTAAGTAATCGTTTATAACTTGCTAAACAAGATTTTATCAAAAGATTGTGTACTTGAAAAAAAAATACAAATATTGTTATAACTACATATTTGTTTTATAGATATTCTGATATACACCTTCCAAGCCATTATAAGAGTGCTTTTAAATTGGATTCACTCAGCACTAGACTCTGCGTCTATACTCTTAAGGTTGACTTTCGATAAATCGTTATCGTAAAGTTGCCCTTTTTTCTGCTTTGGTAGATAGAGTCAAGCCGTTGTTCTGGCTGAGTCTTCAATTAGCACCCACACCGCTAACTAATAGCCCCCTAAAGGAATCCATCATGCTTTTCTCCATACAGGGTCCTTGATCCTGATTATACCTGATTATAATATTGTTCTGAAATATAAAACTCACTTCTATATGGGGTGCTGTCAATCATTTTAGCAACAATCCGTGTTCCGTTAGAGGCGATACTAATCAGCTTCTGTTCAGTCAACTTCTCCTTCAGTGTCTCTTCTCGTATCAATCTATCTAGCGCTGTGGCGTAGAGCTTTAGCGAATCATATAAATAAGCAGCGTAGATTGACACAAACTGAAATTAATAAATACATAATAATCATTAATAGAAATATTTTTAATGAATTAACTATTTATTTTTAATTATAATTATGCAGAACTTGGTAAAAACAGCTTATAAGAACACTTGCTTGGCAAAAGAGTATTAACCATTGTCAAAAACCATCTTATGTCTTATAAAATCACCACACTCCGTTATTTAAAAAAAAAAGTGGCATTGGACTCAATATTTTATGCAAATTGAAATTAATTTTCTAATTATATTTGCAGCCTCTGGGTGCGTTAAATGAATATCTGACACTGCGCTGAGCCACTTAGTAGAGCCAACTCAGTTAAGTCTAAGGAATGTGATAATTCAATTCTTCAAATGTATTGTTGAAATGATTTTTGAGGCAGCCTAGTAGTCGAAACAAGGCAGTTGCACAGTACTTAGTGTTCAATTTTGCCGAACCTTGACGCAAATTTTGTCGGCAAAATAAGCCAGCGAGCGATTTGAACTGCGCTTGAGTTACTCTGTTGTCGCAGAGAATCATGCTGAGTCACCAATGTCTTGCCCACACCAAATCACGTAGCGTTGTCATCATCACCCAATGCAATTTTAACATAAAAGTAAACTATAATAGAAATGTAAGTTATTGAAAGAATGACATACTTTATTGAATTTGTTCTCGAACACAGCTGGCAGAGGGAATTGGAAGGGCTTCATAGCATTGTAGTGTCGCACGCGTGCAGTAAAGTTCTCATAGCTGCCCACGGGTTCCGAGGACACTACCACAAGTAACGACTGCGCCCGCTTCTTGAACTCCTCTGTATTTGGACATACGAGTTTGGCAGAACCACGGTCTTCCGTTTCTAGAGTAGAATTCCTTCAGTACAGGCTCAATAAGACAAAATTCCTTTTAAATTAAAGATAGAAACAATTTTGATCATCTATAATATATGCTTATCAAATGTGAGATACAGGTGACATTTTTTATTTTTTAGAAAATGTAACTTGATTAATGGACTAAAGATTGTTAAATGAATTTAACTACATAAAAGTTCATCAAATCTATTCACTGTACAGAAGATATTAAAGTAATGAGGGTACAGAATTATATGACACTTACTCATTAAATATTTCAGAGACTCCTTAGATGAATAAGTCATCATGTCGACGAAGATGACCATGTATTCTCCTTTGACAAATAGTTTCAGTGATTCCATCGCAGTCATCATGTCTATGAGACCCGCGGTAGATCCCAAAAATACGTATACTACAAAGAAAAATGTTAGAATGAAAATCGAAACTTTATGGCATATCAAATCGTAAGTTCTAAACAAGCATAACTTCATAGTATTCATTTTTGCAAATGTTTTAGTACCAAGAGAGTAGGAAGATTTGTATTATGATAAAAAGTGGTTTCTTTGTCAAATAAAAAAAAATCTTGAAATAATACAAAAAAACCAATATGATTCCGTTACAACTATAATAAAAAACAGTTGTCTCTATTACATTCTACTCTTGCCTTCCACCACAAATAATATATATTTTACTCTCCTAATAAATATTATTTTCTTCCGCAAGTGCCCATTAATGACGACCAATAAAGGTATTACAAAAAATGACCGCCAAACACTTCCAGGTAGGGGCAGATATTTACTCACACTATCTAAGCACACAACGCATTCAAAGATAAAGTACTTGCTGTTGTAATAAAAACTTACTTCGGGTTCTGTTTTTGGTATCCTGTATGAATTGGTACCAAAAACCTGGTGCACAGCAGGTGCGTTTCTCCTCGCAGCACTTGAAACCCTCGATGACGGGCCGCTGGTGGTTCACTGTCATGTTATTCTTCTTCGCGTGATTCTCTAGCGTCAATGCCACCGTCACCCATTGCTCCTCGTACAAAATAGAGAACTTGTTCCATCTGTAGTACCGGAGCAGAGATATCACGGATTTGGTAGCCTGATGATCAAAAAGTTTTATGATGTGTTTTTATTCCTTGGTTAAATATTAAAGAATGGTACTAATAAGCTTATAAGGAGCTTTTAATTGTTATAAATATATCTTTCGTACACATAAATTATAGATAAGGTCTCACCTGAGTATCTGGAGGTTCAAGTCTTGCGAAATTGGGAAGCACGGAACTTTGATAATCTGAGCATTTCTGAAAATAAAAAGTGTTATCATTTTCCATATATACTGTTTTAAATATGCAAATTTATTATTATTATATATTATGTACGTAGTGAATTTCTATTTTGTGTTATTTGGAGAATATTATCAGAAAAATAACACATAAAATATATATATTAATATAAAAGTTAAAATACACAATGAAGTGTAACTAAAAAAGTAATACTTAATGAGGATTTGCCCGTGTATATATATACTATTATATATACTATTACTATACGTATATACTATTTTCTCGTGTAAACCACAAAATGATTGAATAATTTATTTCTTTCACAAAGTAACATTACAATTACTAAATGGTATGGATTAAAAACAATGCAGTTTTTAGGCTCAAAATAGATAAATAACTATTTTGGATTTAAACTGGATTTGCCAAGAGAATTACCTACCAGTGCATCGTCACCACGATGAGACCTTTCAGCGTCGGCGTAGTGTCAATCATTGTCGTACTCACGTATGATATCATGGGCAGGTTCCTTGACTGCGTGATAATGGTGTCAGTGTGACTACGACCTTCGGTTCCAAAGAAGGCCACCACGCCGAAGCAGCTCATGTCAGTGAGCAGCCGCGTCGCTGTGATCGTGTCACACTTCGAGTTGTTCCATTCCAACCGCAGCTACACATCGGGGAGTTCGGTGTAGTGTCAAACATCATTATCGTACTCACGTATGATATCATGGGCAGGTTCCTTGACTGCGCGATAATGGCCTCAGTGTGACAACGACCTTCTGGCCCAAAGAAGGCCACCACGCCGGAGCAGCTCATGTCAGTGAGCAGCCGCGTCGCAGTGATCGTGTCACACTTCGTGTCGTTCCATTCCAACCGCAGCTCGACATCGGGGAGTATGTCAGTACTGTTGTTCACCTGTCCAAGTAACCCATAATATAGAATACGTACTGCCCTAACAAGTGGTTTTCGATCAAGTGGGGGGCGCGAAAAAACTTCGATTAACACGCTGATCATGTGATTGGTTGTGTATTACCCATTGAATGTATAGCCGAATTCATTTGCAGTCTAGCAGATACTTGATCTATCAAAGTATTTTGTTTTATCTGTGTGCGTGTCGCATAATGTATAACTCCTGAGCTAGTAGATAGCTGAAAATTTTATGAAATATACTGCTGGATTTATAAATGTTAAGAATATTTTACTACACAAATATCTACTTGGCCAAGGTATAAGGCTTATTAGCTCTGCATTAGCCTACATTTATTACTAGATAAACTAAAATTTTGGATTCTCAGGTAATGGATAAAAAAACTTGGCAGATGAAGCGATACTTTAATGACTATATTTGTTAGATAGTGTTATTATGGCAGATAACTATCTAACTTTATAAGGAACTGGTGAAGGACCAGCCAAGTAGTAAAATCTCTAATAGATAAACTAAAATTTTGGATTCACAGGTAATGGATAAAAAAACTTGGCAGATGAAGCGATACTTTAATGACTTTATCTGTTACATAGTGCTATTATGGCAGATAACTATCTGACTTTATAAGGAACTGGTGAAGGGCCAGCCAAGTAGTAAAATCTCTAATGATAATCTTGACCACCCAGCCTAACGTGTAATCTTAAAAAAACATGTATTTGTTAACCCAAAACATAACATAATGAAATACGAAAACATTATAATGGTATAGAGACAATAGTAGGTTATCTACACATAATATAAAGCGTAATTATTATTTCTGCGTAAGTACCTAGCTGTGATACTTGGCTATTTATAGATATCCAAGTGGATGACAAGTTTAATCGATTCGGTTTCTACTGATTTTATTTATAGAAGGCATAAGTTGACCTAACAGAAACGCGAACCGGCACAGCCTCTTCAAACACTCTGCGACCACTTTCTTCATACATACCCAATCCAACAAACATTAATATTAGTCTTCCATTGCTGTACACATAAAGTAGTAAACATGCAAATTTTAGATAGGTAGGTAGTTACTCAGCGTAGAGAGTTCTATCTATAAACACAATTTCGAGTTAAAAATAACCAAGGAAATGAAGATATGAATTAGTGTTATTCAAATAGAACTTATCATTCTCATTTCAAACATGAAGCTATGTAGTGTAGGTGCGCGTTGGAATTCGTGAATAAGACTCGTTTCAAGGAATGATCCACTTACACAGATTACTTTTCTAGTTACAGACGTTTAAAGTTACAACCCAACGTCAACGAACAGACTTTTTTTGTACAGGCAAACATTGCAACAAGGCTTCTTCGTAAAGGCAAAGGGTACAAAGCATAAACAACCTAATTTTTTTATGTTGACATTGACACCATGAACCAAGTAGCTTTGAATTCCTAACTGAATTACATATTCAGTATCATTACAGCAATAAATAGACTTTTAGCGCAATGCACTCAACTTTGAGTTTTATTGTTTACCAGTAAAGGTGAAGTTCACCAAATAAGTATAAGTAGAATGTATTGGATCAAAATCAATCGCAGTTAATAATCATATTAAAATAATTTCGCCGTAATTATTATCACTCTTCGATTTATACTCCTTTTTAATAACATTAAATAATAAAACATTAACAAAAATATGTTGTGATATAAATAATATATCATAACTAGGTACTGCCGATAGAAGTATGGTGTGCTATAGAATATGTCAAATGAATATTTTTCACTCATAATGCAAATCAATATTAAAAGAAGATGAAGAAGGAAATATTATTAACCAGTCAGATAATGGTTTATATATTTTTTAATTTATTTAAACTTTATTGACCAAAATACAATAGAATGGTACAAAAGGCGGACTTAAGGCTAATAGCATTCTCTCCCAGTCAACCTTTGGGAAAAAAGAAAAACGCGAACGGCGGTATAAAGCTAAATATACACATAAATATTGATATAATAAATAATATTAAAAATATATACGAATTAACATAGATACATATATAAATACATACTACGAAAGGAATACACATACATACATACCACTATTATATTTAAATATATATATATACAGAACTATACACATGATGATGACTAATAAAGTGACTCTTTATCTTTAATTTTGAAGCAGATGTGTGCGAACATTCCTTTTAAATATAAGTTTATTTGGAGATCTTCTGATGGAGTCGAGAGATCTTCTGATTTATGTAACAATAGTTATTAAAACTCATTATATTCGTGGCTGTATTTACATAGATTCTTTTCCCTCCAATTAGGTTGTGTATTATAAAAAAAAGAAAGACCTAAAAACATGTTTGTGTAGGATGTGCAGTTTGGACTTTTTGGCGGGATCGGAAAGCGGCATTTTAGCAGTTTTGTTTTTCTTGTTAAAAATTGTGTTGTGGCGGATGTTAGTGTCTAATAATGGTGGATTATTAACCACTAAGTGTTCGGGCATATGCACAAGTGTTGGCTAGTGAAACAAAATAGCTGAGTGTCTTTCGACATTCCCTCAAGAAGTCCACGGGGAGGTTCCAGTAAATCCCCACACATTTACTGAAACATAGGGAAAGGTGGTTTGACTTGACTGCCACTTTGACTTGATTTATTACTTTGACCACGAGTGCTATAGAATTTGTAAACATTTTAACACTAACATTACATTGGCTAAATGCACAAGACCTGCGAAGCCATTTAGAAAAAAAAATGCAGTTGACACCGGCTGAACGCACAAACCGTGCATGCCATAAAAAACAAAAAGAAGAAAAAGTGCAGCATTTTTAAATATTATTTAAAAAGTAAATTGTGCTTTTACATAAAAAACACAATACAAAGCCTTAATTTAAAAGCATTTTTGAGGTACATTTCATCATTGCGCGGCATTGGCAAATTGTGTCAGTCTCCTTTTTCGGTCGGAGTTAATGTTGATAATTGGTCCGATTTTTCGATTATTATTTTATCGTCCCACTTACGAGGGAATACAAAATTTTTAAACATAATATAAAACCGACTTCAAAATCGAAATTTTTATTTTTTGTTTTTTTAGATTTTATTTTTTGTTTCATTTTTTTTATTTCACACATTTTAGTGAAAATTACATCGTCCACGTAAACAATAACACGATTGACGGAGAAATCGGTGAACATGCATAAAAAACATCGTGCGTGCCTTTGAAATTTGAAGGTTTCGCTCGATTTCCCTTGATTCCACTATCAGATCCTGACTTGGTTCCAATGGGACCACCTCGAAAGTGCATTCTTTCGAATAAAAAAAGAATTTTGGAAATCGGTCCACGATTGACGGAGAAATCGGTGAACATACATGGAAATATATATATATATATATACAGTCGAACACAGAACCTCCTCCTTTTTTTAAATCGGTTAAAATGAAAATACGAGACTTCATTCGATCGCAGCTCGCTCTGTTATTGCACTCACTGTTTACCTCTTCGAGAGCCATGGAGAGCGCGCCGGATATAGCGAGCCCTTGGCGGTCGCGCAGCTCGCCTTTGATCGAAGGCAGGTAGCCGATGGTGAGACTGAACTTCTTGGCGGCGAGCGCGGGCCCGGCCAGGAGGCCCAGCGCCGCTAACAGCAGCGCGCGCCACATGCCGCAGCCTCACCTCAAAGTCCCCACCTTAAACAAATGATAAAATACATTACATAAATAAAGATGAATCCGTCACGAAATCTATAAAAGTCAATTTATGGAGTCCTAAACTAAACATAAAAATAGGTGTAGTTAAAGGTTGTTTGGACGTGATTCTCTTGTCTTGTATTGCTACAGCATTAGCAGCTCGCTGATATACGGAAAACTATTAAAAGCAATTACCACTATTAGTACTATTAGGTGTAGTTGAATTAGAACCATAAAATAAATATCAAGTACCATATTTTTAGTTCCCATTTTACTATAACTACTGTTGTCATGACGTGGTGTGAATTGTCATCATAAAATCCATACAGATCGAGCTTCCGAGAACCTATCCTTTACCTACTCAACTACTAATACATATCTAATAATGTTACTTTTAAAGAATTATTTAAGATATTTCAAGTTAATTATGCATATATTATGCATAATTAACTTGAAATATCTTAAAAGAAATACTAAAAAATATGATTTTAAAACTGAAGTCATTGTCCTATTATTGAAGAAGAAGATGATCGACTGATAACAGATGTTGTAGACAGTGTCTCCTTCATTAGAAATCGCGAATGCACTATATGTTCTACTTGTCGTGTGCAACGTAGTAGAGATAAACCGTTTTGTGTAAGTGTGTGCAGTCAACACTAACAGCAGAGAGGACAAATTACGTGTTCCTGTCTGTCGAATCATCCTACTTAAAAAAACGGTATAATCCAACTTAGCCGCTACATTCTTGTTTATACCTCGCTTCTTTTGTTTACATCACGCATCATGAATCAAATATATTTCACAAGTCAAGCAAGCAACTTCCTTTATGGTCGATTGGAAGATGGTGATTGTAATTGACACATTTAAATATTTTTTACGCTGATGATTCGGACACCAATAACAAGTAGTCTATAATTCTGTAAGAAACAAAGCTACATAAACAGTCGGGATCCATTATTTAAAAAAAAAACATTCTTGAATATCTAATGGGTCCCGGCTGTTAAAGTAGCTTTGTTCCTTACTTAACAGAATTATAGAGTACTGTTTTTTTTTAAGTTTTTAATTGGAGTTATATTTAAGTAGTCGGGTATTTGATATTTTAAATTTACCTTTTTATTTCACACTTTTTAGTTAGGATTATAAGACTGCCTTGTCACTTCGTAAGCGAGGTAATATTGCAGGGATTATAAAGTATCTTGCGGTAGTCTAAACGATTGATTTATTAAGACATATAGAGAGCTTACCACCAGGGTCAAGGTTACAGATGGGCCTCAATTTTCGGAATAATGAGTTAAATAAATACGTTATACATATATCTAATACATATAGATTTCTAAAAAAAGTCATCTTTTGCCTATGTTCTTTTTAGTAGTAAATACAAAATTCATTTATTTTTATTCGTAGACTATCTAAAATTGGCAGTGGCTGCATTGTCAACGTCCGGCTCCAAGATTGTGATATACACAAATGCAGTTTCATATCCTAGTCTCATAATTTGTTTTACCTACATAATTCACAGAAACCAAATATTTAGATGCCAGAGGTTAACTTCAAACGTTGTTAATTACCCTATATACCAGGGGTGGCCGACTTGATTAGACCCAAGATCTACTATTTGCTGTCAAAACCCAGTGCGATCTACCAATTACATACTTTTTGTAATCTTAAATGAAACTGCACAGTTCAGTACATAATTATATGGAATTTTATTATTTTATTAAGAAGACAAACACAAAACTGAATTATTAGCCTTTGTAACTATTTATTTACATTACTGTGAGCATTTGGTTTGAGCATTCTCCGCTAGATTAGTAAAATCAGGTTAGTTGTTCGAAATTGCCAACCTTAAAGAATCCAACGTATGACCGTCTGCTAAGCGAGAATGCTGTTTATTTTTTGTTTGCAAGTAGAAAAATGCTGACTCACATAATTATGCTAAACCAAAACACGAATGCAGTTGTTCAACACATCTCTTGAAATTTGGTTATTTCTCGTTGGAAACCAATGCACAGAAATCTAGACCTGAGGATGACCTTGCGTTTAGAAATACGTCCCAGCGCAGAATAATTATTAAATGTTGTCTATTTGAAATGTATCTGCAAATTTAGTAGCCTTTTCATAGATATCAGTATAGAAGAGAGTATGAAGATGACGCATGCAGCAGTTGATGATTACGATGCACAGAGGAGCTCGATGGCGTGGGTGGTAAGCGCGTTCGGCTGCGATCGTTGAAGCTAAGCAACTTTCACAGTGTCGGTCATTGGATGGGTGACCAAAAATCTTCTATCTCGAGTTCCTCCGTGCTTCGGATGGCACGTTAAGCCATTGAGCCAGGCTGCATCTGAAGTCGTTAACACCCGCCAATCCGCACTGGGCTCCCGTGGTGGGTCATGGCCCAATCTCCCTATTTCATACAAAGGGAAGGCTTGTGCCCCAGCAGTGGGGGCATATATAGGCTGATGATGATGATGATGCGCAGTCTGTTCTACGTATTTATATTTTTTGCCTTGCCACGATCGACTGAACTAATAGTCCCGATCGACCAATCGATCGCGATCGACTGGTTGGCCACCCCTGCTATATACAATACCAAACAATGACGTTAATGTCGCAGGTTGACGAAAGCAATTATTCCCGTCTGTTGTTTTGGACACTGGTGGCAACTGCCTTAGATCGCACAATTAAATAATTATACAATCAATTAAAATTATATTTTTAGGAGAGGAGATAAAGGTACCTAAACTTAAACGTTTAATGTCATGTTAATTTTTAATATTATTTGTTATTTCGCAATGAAAAAATCTAATTTTTAAAAAATATAGGGCCCGGACCCTATCTTCTATGTTTCGTCCCTGACGGCTGCTAGCTGGTGGCTGCTAGTTTCAGTTTGATATGCAATCACCAAAGCAAAGTTTGTAATATTTGATTAAACTAAAGGCGTGGAATAAAATTACTATAGCGTTAGGTATAGCACCATAGCAATATCATTTATTATCAAGTTATCATCCAATGTATAGATTTACATCTTAGTCGTTCTCTTTTAAAGCGTTCACCAATTACAGGTCGCAAGCTTTCTGGCCTACCCTTTTTTATTGGTAGCTGGTGTAAAGTTCGAATAAAGACTTTATCTACCTATCAGTCAGGCTGCTACCAGCTTAGTAGGTATTGCAAATGGTGCAATCGTAGCAATTATTTTCCAAAAAAAAATCCTACCTTTAAACAAAATAAGAATAAGTAAGACATTTTTGCGGGAGATGGCAAAAGGTTATCGAATAAAATTCCACCTATCTACTTTAGTTACTTGTAAATAAACTTAATTAAAAATGTTTTGAATTTTCATATAAAATGCGAAGAAACTTTTTCCCCGACCTAATATCACAGTAGAGTCACAATAAAATAATTAATTTACATTATAAAAAAAACACGATATTGAAAGTTGGAAAATCTTTCTACACATGATTGTACGTACAAGCAATGTAAGTGTACATCAGTTCCATACACTACTAGTGTGTAAATATAATATTGTGTGTGGTCGTGTCGTGCCGCCGGCCGCGCCGCCCGCGAGCACAGAGAGTGGTGCATGATGGTGACAATCATCGAGTCTATTTTTGTAACTCAATAAAGGGAAGTCTTCCTGCAGCGCGCTTTCCGCCCTCAAATGTAGGAATTGCTTCCATGCTGTCAACTAAGTAATTGCCTCACAGCCGGCGGCTGATTAGATCAATTGTCATACTGCTGTTTTGACAACATTCCTCTTTAGTGATCACCTAGTTCATACACCGATATTAGTATGGGCGTTTCTCTATAAACTGGGCAGTTCCTTCTAAAAAAATGTCTAGGATAATTAATTGCTCATCATATTAAAAAGAAATGCCACATACACACATCAAAAGTGTCTAGGGATCAACATATATTTTTGCAATAACTTTTCTCCTGATTGATATTAATTAAAATTTTCTTTAAGGATTCATCAAATAAAGTGTTTTCGTTTGTCACAGTAACGATAAACCAAGTCACCTTTGCATTAATAAAGAAATTTGCCATTTTCCTAATAAAGGGATTTTTGACATTTGAACCACTAACACAAAAGTTCGAAAAAAAGACTGAAATAACAGTTTTCTCTAAAATTTTATTGGGTAACTTAAACAATTAATAATCCGTATTTCTACCGCGAACACTAACAACACAAGAACATCGGTTTGGCATACTCAAAATGAGTTCATCCAAATCACGCTGTGGAATGGCCGCCCATGTTCGTTGCAACAACAAAAAAAGGTCTTCTTGCGACTGGATACCCTCCATATTCGGCAGAGCTCTTCTCTGTAGCATATCCCATGCATGCTCAATCGGGTTCAAGTCTGGCGACTGAGCAGGCCAGGGCAGGACATTGATGTTAGCTGCGGCGAGAGTCTGTCTTACAACTCTTGCGGTGTGCGGTCGTGCATTATCATGCATTAACTGAAATAAGGGACCGATTTGCACTTGTAGAGGAACGATGACGTCTGATACAATCGTCTCAGCATAAATTTGAGCGTTGAGGTTGCCTCTGATCCAAATCAACTCAGTTCTTCCGCCGATCCAAATACCCGCCCATACCATGATGGTTCCACCACTATAAGGATGGACTTCCTGGCAGGATTTTAATCGCTGTTGGCGTCCAGGGGTTCTCCAGTGTCGTATACGTCTTGTATCCGGTCTCATACCAAAACGAGACTCATCAGAAAAGCACACGAAACGCCATTGTTCTTCTGCCCAATTTCTGTGTTCAAGAGCCCATTGATATCGAATCCTACGATTGTGCATTGCTATAGGTGATACCCGTAGCGGTCTTCGGGAATGAAGGTTCACTTCATGCAAGCGGTTTCTGACTGTTTGGTCGCTAATTAAGTTCCCTGAAGAGTGATGAAGCCTCACGGCTAACTTCATGGCGGTTATTGTTGGAGCTCTTCGAGTTAAGATTTGAATGTATCGGTCTTGTCTCCGTGTGGTGCAGCGATACC